ATCAGTAAGAGCAACGCCATCTATCGTCGAATAGCAGAAACGAATGTCAAAAGATCTAGTGAGATCAAGAACGCTCGAGAAGTACAACGTCATCTGTTGTCAAATGGCGGAAACGCATATCGAAAATACTCGAATTGTGAGGAATGTTCTCGATAACTCTAGGGATGTCGTATCGACTATAAAAGCGTTGCAGGGATGTCACGAAGGCAGTCTATCTGATCTACTCGAAGCGAAGTGGACGATGTTAAGTACGAGTTGTAAAGTGTTCTGTGAGTGTTCTAAGTGATAAATACAGTTTTAATTTATAGTTCGGCAGAATTTTTATTTATTCCGAACCCCAGCGCGTAACAGTTTGGTATCAGAAGTGGGATAAATAATTCCAGTTTTACCGAAGGACAGTTTGCGGAAGGTATTCGCACCAGAGGTCACCGGCAGCAGGAATTGCACCGAAGTGGTTTGAAAGCTCTGCAACGTCGACTGAAGTACAGGAAGGCGAAGCAGCGGCAATGGAATCAATCGCGGGTATATCTGGTATTCCTTCGGGGTAGTAAGTAGCTCCTGATCTTGCGGCCATAATGGTGCTTTAGCAAGAGCAGGCTCGTCGGCAAGAGCAGCAGGCTCGTCGGCTGGAAGAGGAGCTGGTTCGCAAGCTGGAGGAGCAGGCCCATCGCCAGGAAGAGCTGGTTTGAGGCTGGAGGAACAATCCCGGCGCCAGGAGGAGCAGATGCTCCTAATATAAGATTTAAAAGAGACGTTCGGCAAAGTCCTGACGGAGATAAAAGTACAGAAGCCCAACAGCACGAGGACCGTCTTTCTCAGCACGAAAGATGGATTACGAAAACTGAGGTTTAGGTGGCTGATGTGAGGAAGACCCTGGAAGACATGAAAACAGGAACAGTAGCTTCAGCTTCAGTTACTGCTGTTCTTTCCATGTGGGGGCTCAAAGTGCCTCTATTTGATGTAACAACTTCGTGGTCAGCCTACAAGATCCAGTTTGAGGCTGTTATGAAGGCAAACGACTGGAACAAGTCACAGGCCATGACGGCGCTTACTCTAGGACTCCGCGAACAAGCTTTGTTCATCCTGGAAGCCTTGGGTAAGGATGTAACCTATGAGCAGCTCGTGGAAGCGTGGGAGTCCAGTTATGGAGATACGCACCTCGAACACGTTTTTCGTGTCCAGTTGAAGGAACGAGTTTAGCGTGATACCGAAAATCTTCAAGAGTGGGCTCTCGAGGTTGAGAAGTTAGTCCGCGTACCGATCTTCGCCTGCCCTTATCGATGGAATCCTGGTACCTACAAGCCTTCATCGACGGTATTCGAGACTTGGAGGTCAGAGCTGCGGTGCACTTGCCTCATCACGAGGCCCTGAAGAATGCCTTAGCTCATATCTTGGAAGTAGAGGCTGTTAGGAATGAGAGCTCATCACGTCAGAGAATTTACAGTTGCACCTGCCCACGATCGACGTCAAGGATACGGCCCCAGATGCTATACCTGTGGCGAAAGAGGCCACCTGTGGTTGAGTTGCCTGGCGAGACGTACAGCGAAAGGTGAACGTCGGGAAGAAAATACGATAAGTAGCGGCCAGCAGTAGCAGGGAAACGAATAAACGCTAGGACCACGGAGCGGGTGCTGGCTGGTAGTCAAAGAGCCCCCACAATTTCGATCTCGCAAGCACATGATGGAAACAGCCTGGTCATTAAAGGCGAGGTTAACGGCATACCGTGTAAGCTGACACTGGACACTGGAGCTCGGACCGCTATCAGCTTTAGAATAGCTAAGGCATCAATTTGGTAACCTCCAATTCTTGGAGATCTTTCTGGAGAAGAATTGAACAAGGCTGAAAAAATGTTACGCCATTATGCCGATATCTTCTCTGATGCTGACATAGCGAAGACTGGGTTGGTTCAGCACAAAACTTATACTGGCGACCCCCACCGATTCGTCAGCGGCCGAGAATCGTACCGATTGCACGTGTTATTGAGCCTTCATCTAGTCCATGGTGTTCACCCGTAGTCTTGGTAAAGAAGCAGGACGGCAAAGTACACTTCTTTGTGGACTATCGTCGAATAAGCGACGTCATGAAGAAGTTACCCACGAATCGACGGGAATAACGTGGTTTATTAATATGGATTTCAAAAGTGGCTACTGGCAGGTGGAAATTGACCCTAGAGACAAAGAGAAAACTGCATTCTCTACAGGCAAATGTCTTTGACAATTCAAAGTAATTCCATTCGTATTTTGCAACGGTCTCGCGACTTTTGAGAGGATAAGGGAGCTAGTGGAGTGGGGAGCAACCCACTGGATTGATTGGAGATGTCTTTCTAGTTTATTTGGATGACATTATAATCGTGTGCCGCACATTTGATCAACACTTCTAAAATCTAGAACGAGTGCTAATCTCAACGAACTAGAAATCTAGAACGAGTGCTAAAAATTCGAGGGCTAATCTCAAATTAAGTCCGAGGAAATGTTAATTCTTCAAGCAGTAAGTGAGCTTCTTGGGTCATGTGATTGCGGAAAAAGGTGTAGAAACAGACCCACAAAAAGTTGAAGCCGTTAAGGATTGGCCATTTCCGACGGACAAGTCACAAGTCAGAGCGTTTTTGGGTTTGTGCTCGTATGATTGACGGTTTGTCAAGAATTTTGCGGATGTAGCTAAGCCTTTACACAAAAATACCGAGGAGAAACGACGTTTTGGCTGGGACGAGAGTTGTCACAGCGCATTCCGGGAACTGAAGAAGCGTCTGTGCAATATGTCTATTTTGGGCTATCCTGACACAGAAAATGACTTCATAGTTAACACGACGCGAGTAATATGTTAGAGATGTTAGAGATATAAAGGCCGAGGCTCAGCTTTGTGATAGCTGAAACTATCGCTGTTGTTCTGCCGCTGCCTGTGATTTTAATCTATAAACTTCAATCTAATAATACCTAAATTTAAATATGTGGCATAATCTACAGAATCCCTTCCTCCGCACTTTGCTGCTTAAGTAGAAATTTCTTATAAAAGTATTTGAAGGGGCTTAATCCTTGCGAGAGTCTACTTCTCAAAGGTGGAGGCAAGTCCGGAATAAGCCGCGTGTTCTCTCAACGAAAAGGAGATCAAGAGGTGGTGATAGCTGACTTCAGCAAATCGTTATCCAAACCGGAAAGAAATTACTGCGTAATGAGAAGGGAGCTACTGACTGTAGTAAAGTCATTACAGAATTTTAGTAAATACTTGCTAGGATGAAAATTCCATCTGTGGACTGACCATGCCGCGTTGAAGTGGTTTCTACAATTTAAGAACCCGGAAGGTCAAATAGCAAGATGGATTGAACTACTACAGGAGTTCGACTTTGTTATTGAACATCGCAGTGGAAGATCTCACAAACGCGGACGCACTATCTAGAAGACCTTGCGTTGAAAGCTGTAAGCACTGCGCTAGATAGGAGCCTGTGGCCGTGCGGATACTGAGAATGGATTTTAGCGGAGAATGGAAGGAAGCCTTGCAGGAAGCCCAAGAAGATGATGTGGAAATCAAACCAATCCTCTTAAAAGCACCTAAGCCGAAGTGGAGTGATGTTGCGGCTATGAGCTCAATTATAAAAAGATATTGGGTACAGTGGGACAGCTTGGTCATCCAAGGAGTTTTGTGTCGAAGATGGGAATGTACATGGGGAGAAAAATGCCATTTGCAAATGATAGTCCCAAAATCGAAGGTATCACATGTCCTACAGCTATACCACACAGGATTCTAGGGTGGGAATTTGGGGGTAAAAGGACTCTTTTGAAATTGCGAGAGCGATTTTACTAGATCCATTGCCGAGATGATTTTGAGGACCGGTGTCATAAATGTCGTAATAGTTATGCTACAGTTAAAGGTTCTCACACACGTTGCAATGGTGCGGTGAAATGGTACTGCGTTAGAGCGCCGTGGGAAAAAATCGCATTGGATGTCGCAGGCCTGTTCCCGGAAAGTGGCAGTAGAAACAAATACTTCATGGTGGTGATGGATTACTTCACAAAGTGGCCCGAAGTCTTCACCATTTGTAATCAAGAAGCCTCGACGATCGCCAATGAATTAGTACACGAAGTGTTCTGCCGGTTTGGAGCACCCTAGAAATACACAGTGACCAGGGAAGGAATTTCGAGTTTTATTGCTTAGGTTGGTGGACGAGCTCACAGCCCACCTGGTGTTAAGTGGTTACTGAAGCCTATGGGCTATGTCTATGGACATCTACAACGTAAATGCGCCACCCACCTTGAGATATAAGTTCTAAGGTCTCAGTATAGTTACAACGGCTGCCCCGCCCTTCAAGCCGCAGCCCTTCAAACGCATTACTGCTTCACGGCAGAAATAGGTATGGTGGTGGTACCTACCCGCGCAGACTCACAAGAGGTCCTACCACCAGCTATTTCAAGAGACTTGCAGAGTCTTGGGTATCCACAAAACTAAAACCAAATTTTATCACACGTAATCCGATGGAATGGTGAAACGTTTTAATCAAACATTGGAGAAATATCTGGCGAATTTTTTTTTTAAGGGATTTTATGACCTGGTAACTGAGACCCTTAAGTCATGTCTTATTTTAATGTATATTCATATTTTTATGAAAATTGATATTATGGAGTGAAATGAAATGAAGATGATTAATTTGAGACATTAATCAACTGGGATGAAATTAAATGGGATGATATGAGATGAAATATAATCTCAGTAAAATGATGGTCATTTACTAAGATCTTTTCAGTGGACTTTTTGGAGGATCCCGAGAAGTTACGTCCAGCGGCTTTGTTTCATTTTCCCACATTTGTGCACTTTCACAAATATTAAACAGTTAATAAACCACCATTATTACACATTTAAACCCGAAGAAACACTAAATAGACAAAATAAAACAAATCACACAACTTCACTCCTCGCGTTCCCGCCAAATAGTCCATCTGGCGAAAGTTTTGGAAAATAGCACAGCTAATTAAGTAGGCATCTCTATTTGGATAGTATCGGAACATCTTCCGGATACTATTTAAAATTAATCTGTACTGGTTACCTAGCAACATCCCATCTGACATAATTTGTAAACAAACATTGTCACGAACGCATAAAAATTGAAATTTGAAAAATACAAAATTAAATAAATAAATTATATTTGGTTCTGTGTTCATCGTAGGTAGAACTTATAGCGTTGGCCAATGTGTAAAGTAATGTGCTGAATTAATTATGACGGCGCCAAAAGTAAGAAAAAAATATAAACGTAATGTGCATGGTACCCAATTTGTTTTCTATTTCCTTAAATAATATTCTGAGCTCTGGAGATGGTTTGTTTGCGCCATCACTGGCGAAAACAACATTGGTACAGCTATCAAGTGATCAAAAAGCACTCCTCTAAACACACCAGTAACTAACCAAATAACCTTCCCGGAAACCCTTCCTTCCCGTTATCATAGTCATTGTACTGATTGTAAATAGTATAGAAAACAGTAAAAACTTTTGCTTAAACTAAAACTTTCTAAATATGAAAATAATAAAATTGATTTACATCTGCAACAATTTATAAAATAAAATAATGTTTATTTACAGTTATTATATTCTATTGATCAACCTCACGGCCTTGGTGAGTTGTACTTTTTGTGGCAGAAGGGTGAATCCCATACATTGCTAGCGACCACTGGTACGGATGCCACTGTTGTTATCCATAATAGAAATGGACAGTTGGTAGAAAGGATTAAGCTATCGGGGTAAAGACAATTTTTTTAAATATAAATATATTAACAGATATACTAAGTTTACTAAGGTTATGTTTTTAGTCAGTTGGTGATTGGTGGATTTTAACTTTTGAGTTAAATGGGTATGGAAAAAGTAAGTTTATGGAGTGTGCAGTACGGGTAGACCTTCTAGAAGGTGAACCATTAAAGGTGGCTTAAGTTGCTGCTCTTGGTCAGTTCAGGACTGGTAGTTCTGGTAAACTGTGAGCAAACCTAATTTAGCCATTGGTTATACTCTGGCAGAGATTGTGCTTCCAAATAAAAATGTCCAGGTTGTATTTGCATATCGACGCTTGAAAGGCAAGCGTGACTAAGAGACAATAACTGCTTTGTACATAAATGATAGGTAATAACCATATTGGATGCGCAAAAAAAAAATATTTCTAGGTCTATTAAAATCATTCCTACAGCTAGATTCGTTAAAATATTTTTTTTTAGGTATTTCAACTTTAAATTAGTCTACTGTAAAGTTCACGCATTGTCGCTTACTCACGTTTGCCTTTCAAGCGTCGATACATATAATGATTATATATATAACCTATAACAATAGCATATGTTGGCAAATTTTGAAGTCGTCGTGGCCTAACGGATAAGACGTCCGGTGCATTCGTGTTGAAGCGATGCACCGGTGTTCGAATCCCGCAGGCGGGTACCAATTTTTCTAATGAAATACGTACTCAACAAATGTTCACGATTGACTTCCACGGTGAAGGAATAACATAGTGTAATAAAAATGAAACCCGCAAAATTATAATTTGCGTAATTACTGGTGGTAGGACCTCTTGTGAGTCCGCACGGGTAGGTACCACCGCCCCGCCTATTTCTGCCGTGAAGCAGTAATGCGTTTCGGTTTGAAGGGTGGGGCAGCCGTTGTGACTATACTGAGACCTTAGAACTATATCTCAAGGTGTGTGGCGCATTTACGTTGTAGATGTCTATGGGCTCCAGTAACCACTTAACATCAGGTGGGCTGTGAGTTCGTCCACACAGCTAAGTAATAAATAAAAAAAAATAGTATCTTAGTTAACTGTGACCATGAACTCTATTTTCACTTACCGAAAGTATTCTTTATTCATTCATATACAGTAAGTGTAGTAAACTATTGCATATTATTTAAAACCCTTTGCTCTCTTCAATTCTTCATGAGAGAATTCAAACACCTCTTAAAAACAACAACCCACTTCTATTTCTCATATTTCAATAGGTTTGTACTTTAATGTTTGCCTGTACATATACATCAATAGACATTTCTTACTGTAACTTTCTTAAAGTATTAGTTAGTATTTACTTGTATCTAGCGGTAGGCAGCGGCTTGGCTCTGCCCTTGGCATTGCTGAAGTCCATGGGCGACGGTAACCACTCACCATCAGGTGGGCCGTATGCTCGTCTGCCTACAAAGGCAATAAAAAAAAAAAAAACATATTTCTGATTGTTATCATGACACAGTAGTCTGTTTTGATTTGAAGGTTGAAAAAGCTGTTATACAATACAATTGAGATTGCAACATTATGTCTTCAAGTGTGGATAGTAGATAGGAGTACCGGCGTATTGCAGGCTCTGATAATTATCACACTTCACTACTTCTATGGGTCTACCAAGCCAATCATAAGAAAATGAAAACCGACTATAAAAGCAAGAGCACATCTCTCTTTCTATAATTTAAATGGAAATGGAAAGCTTTTTAAACTAGTTGTTCCAACAGACTTTTTTTGCAAACAAACCTCAATTGGGAGTAATACAAATATTTTAAGAAAAATTGTAACTATACTGAGACCTTAGAATTCATATCTCAAGGTGGGTGGTGGCATTACGTTGTAGATTGTCTCTTACGTGGTAGAGTCTATGGATTCCGGTAACCACTTAACACCAGGTGGGCCGTGAGCTCGTCCACCCACCTCAGCAATAATAATTTAAAAAAATCCTGATTGATGCAAGTGTTCTCTAATTATAACTATACTTAGACCTTAGAACTCATATCACAACGTGGGTGGCGGCATTTACGTTGTAAACGTCTATGGGTTCCGGTAACCACTTAAAACCAGTTTGACTATGAGCTCGTTCAGCCATCTAAGTAATAAAAAAATAAAAATAAAATTAAATGTTATTCAATGCGCATTTCATTTTTTATTTATGTACACTCAAATCACACAAATAATTTATGGTTAAGTTCTGAACTTCCAGACTATGTGCAGATATGGAATGGGACAACGATGGAGATTATCTAGCCATTATTACACCTAATAGTAATGCAGTTTTACTTTGGGAATGCCATGCTAATAAACGGTTGAACATTGAGACGGGCCTGCGTGAACCACCTTCGTGTCTTGCTTGGGCTTACGAAGAACCTTTACTAGCAGTTGGTACACATAAAGGAAATTTAGCCCTTTATAATCATCATACCACAAAGTGAGTATGAATCACCGCTTTTCTTGATTGATGTACACTTTGAAAATAAATAGCTGATTCCAATTCACAAGCAACAGTTACTGCCCACGCGGAAGACTTTCCATACCTTCTATTTCTATTGTATGATCTATCTTTTTAATAATCTTAAATCATGCGTTAGTTGAAAGCAGTAAAGATATAATTCATTTTAGAGTTGCTAATCTTACATTGAATTTTTTTTTGCTGTTTCGATGGGAGTACGAGTTCATGGCCGACCTGATGCTAAGTTGTCATCCGGGGCCCATACATTAATAAAGTGAATGCCACCACCAACCTTGAGACATGAGTTAGTCTGAGTAAATCTCAGTTATATAGTATAACGGCTGCTCTTAAAATCGAAATGCATTACTGCTTCATGACAAAAATAGATAACTTGGTGGTAGGTATCTGTACGGACTCAGAAGACGTCCAACCACCAGTAATTATTAAATTCTATTCCAGGAGAATTCCAATAATAGGGAAACACAGTAAAAAGATATGTTGTGCTGTATGGAATAAAGACAACATACTTATACTTGCTTCAGAAGATAAGACATTGTCCATAAATAATTCAGATGGAGACACACTCAGGATAATATCACTAAGGGATACTCCTAATGATTTGCAAGTTTCTGAGATGAAGACAGATGAACGAGTTGCAGGGGAAAATACAGTAAGTTTTTGGTGCTATTGTGGTGTTTGAAATCCATGAAAATAAAGAAGAAACAATAAAGCCAAAATCATGAGTTTTGTTTAAAATCAACCTTATCGTATTAAATTTGCTATTGTCTTGTCTTAATCGCGTTTTATTATGTGCATTTTTGTTTTTTTAACATAAACAGTATTTTTTTCTTTCAGGTAAGCCTTATTGTTGGGAAACGCACATTATATCTTTACAATCTTTTGAATCCCGACAACCCAATAGAGTTAGCATTCCAACAACGTTATGGTTCCATAGTTTCGTACAAATGGTATGGCGATGGTTACATTCTTATAGGGTTCAGTGCTGGATTCATCATATCAATATCGACACACATCAAAGAGGTCGGCGAAGAATTGTTTCAGGTCAAGAACCATAAAGATAGTTTGACCGACATAGCGGTGTGTAACGGGCAGGCCGCTTCGTGTGGGGATGGACAGTGCGTATTAATTCATAGTTATATGTGTACAACTCGACCAAGCTAAGTTTGCACCTCGCTGGAATACGGCGCGCCGCCCGCTTCCCCGCTCACCTTCCCGCGATCGCCCTGTCGCGTCAGTACGGTTAGCATCTTTGTCGCCGACACGCGACATACGAGTTTTCGTCTCCCTATCCGTTGAATTTGAACAGTAAAAAAAATTTAATTTTTTTTGACTGTTCTTGTTAGGTTTTTTGTTGAAGTTTAGTTATATTATTGGACTATATTATTGGACTACTTTTGTTAAGTTTTTGTTGAACTGTTGTTACTGAACGGTTAACGTTCATTTTTTTTTTAATTCGAGAGGATTGTGGGTAACAGTAATGAAAGGAAAGGTGGATACACAGTGAAGGGAGAAATATAATCCTGAAAAAGAAACATAAAGGAAAATGATTACTGAGCAATTGGGATGCAAATTAAAAAAGTGCAAGAATGCCTGGGTAGTCTTAATACAAAAACCCGATATCGCTATATTCTAATGTATCTATGTATAATATATTGTTAAAAACAATAAATGCAAATTAAAATATAACAAACATTTGTTTACATTTTTAAAGTTATAGCGTATTCTTTTTTCAGGCCATACCTAAGCGGCAATGTGACGTAATCGATGCGAGGTGCAAACTTAGCACGTCATTTCGGATCCTCCCGATCCACTAACGGTGCTTTTAGGTACTTCAAGCACCGGTCACCGTTCTCGTTGAACCCGTCGCTTGCGACGAAGGGCTTGACGAGTAAATTAACCCTCAGACTCAGCCCACTGAGTTTCTCGCCGGATCTTCTCAGTGGGTCGCGTTTCCGATCCGTTGGTAGATTCTGCGAAGCACGGCTCTTGCTAGGGTTCGTGTTAGCAACGTCGTCAGGTTTGAGCCCCGTGAGCTCACCTACTAGTTAAGGTTACGCTGGAATAGCCTCTCAAGACTACAAGCTTAGGTAGGAAAAAAAAAAGCAAACGTAGCTTGGTCGAGTTGTACATTCGTAGCATCTCTTGCTGTCAATTTTTTTTAAATTTTTTGTGTGTTGCTTAGATGGCTGGACTAGCTCACAGCCCACCTGGTGTTAAGTGGTTACTGGAGCCCATGGACATCTACAATGTAAATGCGCCACTCACCTTGAGATATAAGTTCATAGATCTCAGTATAGTTACAACGGCTGCCCCACCCTTCAAACCGAAACGCATTACTGCTTCGCGGCAGAAATAAGCAGGGTGGTGGTACCTACCCGTGCGGATTCACAAGAGGTCCTACCACCAGTAATAATGAATGCTTTATTGTTCAGGTTAAAGTTGATCTCAGTTTGGAATAATGGTGAGGTGAGTGGATCGGTGATGCCGACGGGGGGAGCCGAGCGTTGCGGGTGGAGCTCCGACGGAAGGTTACTAGCGACTTCCGGGCGAGGGTACCTGAACGTTTACGTGACCACGCTACCCCCCCTGTACGCTACGTACGGAACCAGAGCTCTCACTCTGACCAGTCTCACTGAAGTCACGGTTTACCAGTGCATCGGGGTCGAGGATGCCCCCGAACCTATTAATAAATGTAAGTTAATTGGTGAGCTTAATATTAATTTGCTTAAGTAAATTGAGTTAATCTTTGGACTATTTTTCTCATTCGTATACGATCCTCCTAATTCTAGGCGATACCTACTAGAGATTATAGACGATGCTAATGCTACCGCATGAATATGTAGTATTTGAGTTTGGGTCGATTTTGTGCTATTTTATGGTACGTAGTTTAGTATTACTATTTTATACCGACTGGTCTCTATCGTTTTTTTTTTTTTTTTTTAATTGCTTAGATGAGTGGACGAGCTCACAGCCCATCTGGTGTTAAGTGGTTACTGGAGCCCATAGACATCCACAACGTAAATGCGCCACCCACCTTGATATATAAGTTCTAAGGTCTCAAGTATAGTTACAACGGCTGCCCCACCCTTCAAACCGAAACGCATTACTGCTTCACGGCAGAAATAGGCAGGATGGTGGTACCCACCCGCGCGGACTCTCAAGAGGTTCTACCACCAGTAAAAAATTATATTAATTATATAAAAATTATATTATAATTATACCAGTAAAAAATAATATTGACTATGGTCGCCACTTTCGTTGCCAGCTGTCGGGGTTACGATCCTTGACAGTCACTGTTCGCCGTGTCGCTGTCGTTGTTAACGTTCATGAGGGTCGACTACAATCGACCGCCTATGAGGAAGTAGTAGTAGTAACTTAAGGAGGCCCGAAATGGTTCATTGTTCTCGTCGAACCGGTCGCTTGCAACGAAGGGCTCGGCTAGTAAATTAACCCATACCCACATAACATAGCCCACTGAGTTTCACATTGGGTTGTGTTTCCGATTCGGTGGTAGATTCTGCGAAGCACTGCTCTTGCTAGGGGTTACTGTTAGCAACGACGTTAGGTTTGAGTCCCGTGAGCTCACCTACCAGTTAACGTTACTCTAAAGTGGTCTCTCAAGATCATCAGCTTTACGAGGAAAAAAAAAGCCCGAAATGCAAACCCATGTTTTATATCGCGTAAGGTAACTACACTGAGAACTTATATCTTAAGGTGGGTGGCGCATTTACGTTGTAGATGTCTATGGGCTCCAGTAACTACTTAACACCAGGTGGACTGTGAGCTCGTCCACCCATCTAAGCAATAAAAAATAAAAAAAACCTGACACAGTGTTGTGTACAGCGGAGCCGACAGCTCTGGCGACCTACGCGCTGCCCGTGGAACCGACTCTAATAGCGCTGGGGGGCTCGCACTTGTGCTGCGTGCACGGCTCGGACGCCTGGTTCTACCCGCTGTCGGCCGCCGCCGGCCGCGCCCGCCCCCGCCCCCGCCGCTACCCCGCGCCCCTCGACCGCCTGCGCCTCGCCGGGGACTACGCCGCCGCGCTGTTCGAGGGCCGTGCCATGCTGCACACCGTATGTACCTTCCCTCACCCGAGCCGCTNGGGGGGCTCGCACTTGTGCTGCGTGCACGGCTCGGACGCCTGGTTCTACCCGCTGTCGGCCGCCGCCGGCCGCGCCCGCCCCCGCCCCCGCCGCTACCCCGCGCCCCTCGACCGCCTGCGCCTCGCCGGGGACTACGCCGCCGCGCTGTTCGAGGGCCGTGCCATGCTGCACACCGTATGTACCTTCCCTCACCCGAGCCGCTTCCACGTTGCCTTTTTTTTTTTATTGCTTAGTTTGATGGTCAAGCTCACCGCCCATCTGGTGTTAAGTGGTTACTGGATCCCATAGACATCTATAACGTAAATATGCGCCACCCATCTTGAAATATAAGTTCTAAGGTCTCAAGTATAGTTACAACGACTGCCCTGCCCTTCAAACCGAAACGCATTACTGCTTTACGGCAGGGCGGTGGTACCTGCCCGCGCGGATTCACAAGAGGTCCTACCACCAGTAATATATTCTATACCGAGCACAATCATAATAATATTCAGGGCTATATTATCTGTAGGAAAATTCGAATACAATCGATAACTAAGAGTATAACTACATACTAAAGATAAATTTTCTACGGGACGGATGTAATTGCTGGGGTAGACAGACTTTGATCTGAATGTTTTTGTCGTAAACATATACGCAAGTCTATCTAGAAAATGTCGTAAACTCCTTTCAGATTTTTGTGACATTTGTTTTTCTTTATTAGATAAAAATAAATCCGACAAAAGGGCACAAATTCACATTTGGCTAATTAAATAACAATTTATTTTGATTAAATCCACGTAAATTTTATGAATTATGTTAATGGATTGATTAAATATTGTGGGTAGGCTACATTGCTCGTAGAACAGATGGCCCCTGAGGCCGCAATGTTCTCGACTGGCGACCGTGTGCAAAAAAGCGCAGCGTGGGTGAGCTGCCCACGAGGTGACACGACGACCTGCTAAAAGTCGCTGGAGTTTGCTCGCTGCGGGCTGCATAGGACCGGTCATTGTGGCGAACCTTGGGGGAGACATATGTCCGGCAGTGTACGTCCGTGGGCTGGAAAAAAAAGCTTAAAAGGAGATTGCATGGGCGAATTTCAGCTTTTTATATTTAAGCGTACATTGAACATATAAGGAACTAGCTTTTGCCCGCGACTTCGTCCGCGTGGAATAGTTCACAAATAATGCTTTATTTTAGAACAAATGGCTAGCATAAAAACGTTATAGTGAGCCAACATATAGACATATGCTGTCGCGGTCTTTTTTTAGATCTTTTAAAAGGGAACAACTCTGTCATACATTATTTTAGCGAAACTATAACCGTTTCTACAGCGCACGCAGCGGAAGATCTCAAAACCCGATTTTGTTACATTATTTATTGGTGCTCCGCTTGTATTGGTCGTAGCGTGATATTATATAGCCTTCCTTAATAAATGGGCTATCTAACACTAAAAAAAAATTTCAAATCGGACCAGTAATTCCTGAGATTAGCGCATTCAAACAAACAAACTCTTCAGCTTTATAAAATTATAAGTATAGATTAGTATTAGTGATGCTCCAAAATAACTAAGGATGGGAAGATCGATAGGTACTCAGTTAAATATTCGTTGAGAAAATCTTTTGTCAGTTGTGCGAATGTAAAATTGCACAGATTGAACAACCGGACTCGTCTCAGGCCGAAAGGGAATGCATGATGTTTCCCGAACCGCACATGCAGGGCGCTAAGATTGTGGACATTCATCTCACCGCCGACTTTTTTATATTCATCACAGATGTAAGTAAATAACTCGACCTTTAAGCTATGTACAAAGAAAGAAAGCCAGCGTAGTGTGTGTAGGTAGCCCTCGATTTTCCTTAAATTACATTTATATAATACTAGCTAACCCGGTAAACGTTGTTTTGCCATATATAAGAATTCTAGGGAATTTCTAGTGTAGAAAAAAAAACTAACTTATTTTAAGTGTGTAAGGATTTGGTAAATTAGTGAAAGAGGCATGTAGCGCTGTGAACGATGAGGGAATATAAAAATAACAAAACCTCATTCAAAGACATAATCCCTCTATATAACAAAAAAAAAAAGGCAAAAAAAAAAATTGTTTTGGGTGGACAAGCCTTATTTATCACTTAAGGGTATGAAAAATAGATAGTAGCTATGGTAATGCCCCAGTAATGCCCCACAGTAGCCGATTCTCAGACCTACTGAACATGCATATAAAATTTCATAAAAATCGGTGAAACCGCTTCAGGGAGTATGGTAACTAACATTGTGACACGAGAATTTTATATATGAAATTACTGAATACAATAATAATATGATACTTATAATAAACTAGCGTTACCGAGATATTTTTACGAAAGTGGTTTTACTTGTGACAACAATATGCCATATTTTGATCCACCAATGGTAGTTACCAAAATTCTTTCCACCACTAAACTATACGAGACTTCGAGCTTATGACAAAATATGCGTGGCGCCATGTTCCTTGTCACCTTAGATTACGTCTGGTGGGTAGAATGAATAATCAGTCGCTGTAGTGTTTATAACGTAAAGTGATAGCGGTCAACGTCGATACGTTGTCGTAAACACGTCATTTCGCATCGTCCCATTCCACTATCAGTGTTTTTGGGCTTTTAGGACCTCAAGCACCGGTCATCGTTCTCGTCGAACCCATCGCTTGCAACGAAGGGTTCAGCGAGTAAATTAACCCACAGACACAGCCTACTCACTTTCTCGCCGGATCTTCTCAGTGGGTCGCGTGTCCGATCCGGTGGTAGATTCTGCGAAGCACTGCTCTTGTTAGGGGCTAGTGCTAGCAACCTCCTAAGGTTTGAGCGCCGTGAACTCACCTGCTCGTTCAGCGAATCTAGTATAATCCCTCGAGGTTACTAGAATAGGTGGGAAAAAAAACATTTGTGCAATTCAAACGCGGTAGAAGCGAAACCTTCAAAAATTCAAATACAATTATCTTAAATGTCTAAGTATATGTAAAATTTTGTCATATTAAGTAAATAATTGTAAATCATCTTTTATAGTATGAGGTTGCGCGTTCTGTGAATTGATATTTTAACTTCACGTATAATCCTAAATTAAAATTCACTACAAGAGGTTTCATAGACACGTTAGTATTAAAAAATCTCATAGATAGCGCTGTATTAATGTGTTCTATCTCATTCTCTCGGTGGCTCAATCCTATACATTTATGTGTTTGTGTCTCTGTGGACTTATTTTTTCGTTTCATCGAGTTTGAAATCACGACGTTTGACTTCAAAAATATCGTCTGATCTGCTCGTGTCGCAACTCGCACGCAGCAAGGTCACGTGGAGCACTTCGGCGTGGAGGAGTGGCGCACGAGCGTGCGGCACCGCGCGGCGGGCGCGCTGTGCGCCGCGTACGGCGACATCAGCGGCACGCGCGCCTGCCTCGCCGACACCGCGCGCCGCCTGCTCGTGTACTGCCCCGCCGCGCCGCACGACCTCTGCCCCCTGCGCGAACCGAAACTCTTCAGGTAACTCCTTCTTTTTTTAAGGGATTTTATGACCTGGTAACTAAGACCTTTAAGTCATGTCTTATTTTAATTTATATTCTTAAGTTTATGAAAAATTATATTATGGAGATTAATAAAATGAAGATGATTAATTTGAGACATTAATCAACTGGGATGAAATTAAATGAAATGAGATGAGATGATACGGGATGAAATGTAATCTCAGTAGAATGGTTATCATTTACTAAGATTTTTTCAGTGGACTTTTTGGAGGATCCCGAGAAGTTATTTCCAGCGGCTTTGTTTCATTTTCCCACATTTGTGCACTTTCACAGATATTAAACAGTTAATAAACCACCATTATTACACTTTTAAACCTGAAGAAACACTAAATAGACAAAATAAAACCAATCACACAACTTCACTCCTCGCGTTCCCGCCAAAAAGTCTAACTCCTTCGGACATACATAATGTGACCATACGTCCCGCTTTGGGCCGGATTGTCCCGCTTTCAGGCTGTACGTCCCGCTGTCCCCAACGAGAACCAAAATGTCCCGCTTTCCTTTATCTGTTGTGCTTGTGTTTATTAGAAACTTACCTAATAGTTACTTATTCCAAATCCTTATTGTATTACAAAATATATACTAATTTTGCTGTAGAAAAGTAGTTTTTTGTTGCGAAATTATTTATAAATATTATTTTAAGGGCAAGTTGGTGTAAGAATTAAGATGTCAGTGAGGGTAAGATACCATAATAAATTATTTCAAGGCATTTTTTAAACTATATTTTTTATTTTGCACTTAAATATTACATATTACCCCGACATACCCTATATTATTATATGTATTTATTTATATACGAAATTCCGTAGGTGCCCCGCTTTGACACGAAAAAAAAATGGTCACGTTAGACATACATCATCACACCCACTGCCACATACGAAAGATCTCTGTCTATCCTGAGAATCTACCTCTAGAATTTTTCATAAAGCCTGTGATGAAAATCCTGTCGAAATATGATGGTCACGACCCTCAGCAGTGAGGAAACGACGCGAGAAAGAGAAAGTCTGTGGTCAAAATTAAATTGAGAATAGATTGACAATAAATTATAATGTTAATTTTAAATGCCCAGCAAAGCGGGCGAGTACGGCTAGTATTTTATAATATGCAGTGATCGTAATCGAAATAGGTACCTACCAATGGGTATTTACCACCACTCTTGCCTGTTTCTGCCGTGAAGCAGTAACGCGGCTTAGGGGTTAGCCGTTAACTTACTTACTGGCGGTAGGACGTCTTCCGAGTTCGATGTTTTAAACTTCGCGGTTGTTTACATTACACACATTATTTTTACGGGTAGTGTTACACACTTAAATAATAGTTGTGCGTGTGTGTGTATGTGGGCGTGTATATGTGTGGAATAAATAATACATTATTGCAATTTGTTCATTCTGTCTCAGAGGGGTCATCTGGGATATTTGTTTGTCGGATCGGAACGTGTTTATCGTGTACACGGATGACAAAATTGACACATACTACTACGTGTCGAACTCTATAAACGGATCCCACGTTGACCTGGTCGCGAGCACCAGCATCCTGCCTGGCCAGATCCCTCTCATACTGTTCTCCGGCGACGTGTACTGCTACGCAAGCGGGGGCAGGTCAGTTGAACGAATTAATTATTTTAAGGAAGGATAGAGAAGGTCAAATTTTGTTTTTTGATACTACCCACGAAAAGTTAAAAAACGAAAAGGACTAAGCGCTGCTATTCTAACCAGGGCCTCAGCCAAGTCACCGTTTACGGCTGAGTATTCATGAACATTGTTTGGAAAAAAGATATTTAACATAGCGCAATTAATAAAATGTAATAACTAACATTTTTATATTGATAAGGAGCGCTCGTGACCACTCATCATCACATATGACGTATGGCCTGTCCGTCTTCGAACTCAATCGAAAGCTTAATTACTGTCTTTCTTCCATTGGTTGTAACTGGTTTTTTCTTACCAAACCGCCTGAAAAATGGCCACTGAAAATTGAATTATAAAGTCTTGTACATACGAAGGGTTTTTTTATATTTTTTCATTATTTGAATAATTGTTTTCTTCACAGCATAATAAAGATTCCATTAGATTCGCACAACACGAGCGGGCTGGCGGACCCGGACACCGAGAAGCGGGTCGCCAACCAACGGAAGCACATCGAGAAGATGCTCCTCCTGAGGAGGTTCAGTGACGCCTGGCTGTTCTGCGACGCGGTGGACGAGCCCGACGTGTGGCGGAGACTCGGCGAGGCGGCCATCGCCGACTTGAATGTGGAATTTGGTTAGTTGAATCTGAACACCTTCAAATCAAATCAAATCAAATCAAAAATTATCAACATAAATGAAAGTACATACTTATTGTACGACAAAAAGAACTACCGTCAAATTCACAAAAACTAGCCTTCGTCCTGAGAAGAACTGGCTAGAAACTCAGCGGGCATGACTTTTTTTTTTAAATATTAGATAAAAAAAAAAATATATTCATTTTTACAATGAGTGTTCTTGATTTGTGAATGTATTTCCTTTGTGATTTTTCTTAGGTGGTTTGTGAAGTCTGCCGTTAAATTACAAAATACTATTAAATTCTTTTTGGTTTTAATGTGAGAGTAATATTGTGAGAGTAATAATATTGCGCGTCTTGTAGCTGTTGAGTCCCGTTCAGAAGTGAAGGTGGTTGTGTGTTTTGTCACGTCGCGGGGCTCGCCGGTCCGCCGGTTTGCCGCCCCCTCCCTCGCCGCGCTGCCTGCGTCTCTCCCGACTCTGCGAAAGAGGAGTTGATGCGTAAACAATGAGTATTTTAACGTAACAATTATTGCAATATTGAAATGCCCGGAGCAAGCAACTCATTCCCACTTTGTGCAATCTTCTAGATAGTAATTGACTTTATAGTAAGCTTTATTTAATTTTATTGCACAGATGTTCTTTAAGTTTTCTTAAAACTATGTATATGTAGGTTCGAAGTCGTCGTGGCCTAAAGGATAAGACGTTCGGTGCATTCGTGTTGAGCGATGCACCGGTGTTCGAATCTCGCTGGCGGGTACCAATTTTTCTAATGAAATACGTACTCAACAAATGTTCACGATTGACTTCCACGGTGAAGGAATAACATCGTGCAGTAAAAATCAAACCCGCAAAATTATAATTTGCGTAATTACTGGTGGTAGGACCTCTTGTGAGTCCGCACGGGTGGGTACCACCGCCCCGCCTATTTCTGCCGTGAAGCAGTAATGCGTTTCGGTTTGAAGGGTGGGGCAGCCGTTGTGACTATATTGACACCTTAGAACTATATCTCAAGGTGTGTGGCGCATTTACGTTGTAGATGTCTATGGGCTCCAGTAACCACTTAACACCAGGTGGGCTGTGAGCTCGTCCACACATCTAAGCAATAAAAAAAAAAAACTTGCGGGAATTTGTTGTACTGTTAAGTTACTGTTAAGGCAGTCAGAGGTACCCAGCCGCTGTCGCTTGGCGTATGGTATAAGCCCGCTGAGTTTCTCACCGGGTCTCCTTATTGGGTGACTTCGATTCGGTGGTAGAAGCATCCGCGAAGGACATGCGGGCCAGCTTCTTGCAGGCTCCTTGCCTCCCGGCAGAACGCTAAAGCCGTTCTAAAGGCCGGGAAGGTATACAAGTCAGCCGAAATACACCTCCATGGAATATAGACGATAACACTAAAACACTAGTTGGAGTGAAGGGATCAAAAATTTAACCTTATATCTAAAAATGGTGGGGCATATTGTAAGTCTACGTGGATAGCATTGTGCATTGTTATCCTGCCCGGGTAAGTATCCGCATTCTGCCTATTTCTGCTGTTGTTTTATAATAAAATTGGGACTTCGACTTCGGATCTCAAGATTGATGACGACGTTCACGTGGTACCCATGAACTCCGGTAATCATCGAATTACAGAATAAAAATAGATAATATCGCTATAAATATTAAATACACCTGTTTGTTACGCACTCGCTCGACATCTGCAGTAGGTATCATAGTTTAACTATAACGAGACTTTACACGAAGTGTCAACACGTCCTTCGAATGTGGTTTACTGGTGGTAGGACCTCTTGTGAGTCTGTATGGATAGGTACCACCACCCTGCCTATTTCTGCCGTGAAGCAGTAATGCGTTTCGGTTTGAAGGGTGGGGCAGCCGTTGTAACTATACTGAAACCTTAGAACCCATATCGCAAGGTGGGTGGTGGCATTTACTTTATAGATGTATATGGGTTCCGGTAACCACTTAACACCAGGTAATCTGTGGGCTCGTCCACCAATTTAGCGTAGATCCCAAACGAACATCCATTATACCCGAACTTGAGGTTAATAATAATAAAGGCGACATTAAACTTTGAGAATGTTTGTGTGTGGTAATACGTCGGCCATGCCCGCAGCGATACGTGTGTACACTCGGCTGAGCGACGTGGGCACGGTGTGGGCGCTGGAAGACGCCGCGCATGTTGAAGATTTGTCGGTGCTGTGGTGAGTTCAATGCCTCTTCACAACTACGCCATGTTTAGTTCATTGAATGAATACGTCAAAGGGTCTTTTCGGTGAAAACGTGAGGAGCGCATTTTTGAAGCGAAACTTCTAATGCGACTTCCAAAGAGGTTGCGTTAAACGTGTAACGCTACCATGGAATAGAAAGAGACAGAGCGACAGCAAATGCGCGACACTCAAACGCACGCGCATAGTATACTTGTTACAGCGCGAGCGCTAGCAACGAGTAGCGGCCAATATTTTAATTAAGTATTTAAAACTATAGGTATATATACATTTATTTTTCTATCTATAATTTGTTGTATAAATATTGAAGATGTCGCATCTCTTATACACAGCATTCCCTATTACAAGAGCAATCTGATTTAAAGATGAAAAATGAAGAAAACCACAATACCGCACAACGAAAAAGAAGTTTCACTTCATCCACGTGCACCAAGTTGCACGCGCACCGTTATTTATTTATTGCTTAGTTGGGTAGACGAGCTCATGGCCCACCTGAAGTTAAGTGGTTACCGGAGCCTCACCTCCGTGGGCTGTGTCTGATAGTTAATTTACTTGTCGAGCCCTTCGTCGCAAGCGACGGGTTCGACGAGAACGGTGCTTGAGGTACCTAAAAGCACCGTTAGTGGATCGGGAGATCCGAGATGACGTGTAATATTAATTGTAGATCGATCGGCAAAAAGATTTTTTGCATAAGAATTATGGGTGTGATGTCGCGGTTGTATTGTCACACAGTGGCATGCTATGCGCCTGCGTGGGCCAGGGTGCGGCGGCGGCTCGGTGGGCGGAAGGTTCGCCCCTGGCCCTCGAGCTGGCGTGCGCGCGCGGCTTGTGGCGCGACGCGGCCGCGCGGGCGCTCGCCGCCGCCCCGCTGCACGCGCCGCTCGTCACCGCGCAGCACGCGCACCACCTCGAACTCATGTACGCATACACAAAAAAACCCAATGCTACATGTCTAATCTCAAAGCTGGGAACAGCAATATCATATATCACACACATGATGCTGCTCTGTGTACTTATCGCGAGTTTTTAAATTCTCGATCGCCGCTAGGACCTGATAGATCTACGTTTGCCCCCAGGGGCGCTGTTCCATACAAATTTGAGTTAACTTTTACGCGATCGAGAAGTTAAAAAACTCGCACTAAGCATACAGATCACTAGCTAGATCAAGATGTAACCCATTATGTTTTCTGAGGTTAAATGTCTATTTCTGCTGCGTGGGGCATTCCGATTTAAGTTATTTAAAATGTAATAGAGATGAGACTTCGGTTTTGTGAAGTGATGCTATACTGGAGGTGATATCTACAAGCTCTGATGATCCCTATAACATGAGATGAACTGTGCAATGAAGACAGATTTGCTGTCATTTATGATTTCTTCATCTTCCAGGGCTGATTATCATGAGGCACTGGCCAACTACGAGAAAAGTATAATTACCGAGAATTTAGACGATGCAAAAGTAAGGGAACACAATAGGAAGTGCGAGGCCGGCATAGCGCGTACTGCGATCCGCTGCGGTGACGTCATGCGCGGTGTTACCACTGCCATGAAGCTCGCCGATGACGTCACGCTGCTCAAGGACTGCGCTCAACTCTTAGAAGAAGAGAAGCAGTACAGTCACGCGGCCGCCCTGTACGATCACGCCGGTAACACCGAACGAGCAGCGTCTCTATACATCAAACTGAAATCTTGGCTCAAAGTCGAAGCCCTGCTACCTAAGATCAATTCGCCCAGCATCCACATTCAGTACGCCAAAGCAAAGGAGGCGGAAGGTCGCTACCACGACGCATTAAAATCGTATCTGAAGGCTCAGGATTACGAAGCGGCCATCCGATTGAATCTCGATAAACTTGAAGACATCGACGAGGCAGTCCACTTAGTTCAAGAAACGAAATCGGTGCAAGGGGCGAAAATGGTCGCCAATTACTTTCAGAACAGCGACGACTCGAGCTCAGCGATAAAGTTCCTAGTGATGTCGCTTTGTTACGACGACGCATTCCAGCTAGCCAGGAAGAACGGGAAGCTGCAGCTGTACGGCGAGATACTGATCCAAACGTCGCAGGCTCGTTCGGAGGACTTCAAGAGCTTGGCCTTGCATTTCGAGGGGGAGAAGAACCATTTGTTGGCGGGAAAGTTTTACTTCCACGCTGCCGATTACAACAGAGCCATGTCGCACTTGCTGAAGGCCGGCGGCTCCGAAGAAGACGAGAATGAGGCGATCAGTGTAGCCATCGACGCGGCCGCGGCTAGCGACGACGAACGACTAACCAGGAGGTGATTATATTATTGCAAATCCTTTAGTTTCCATGTAGCGCCTCGAATAGCATTGACTCCATTTTTTTAGGTGTCATAGAAGGCGATCCAGGGTTTCACTGGAGAATGGTCAGTAGTGTTCTCTGACTATTATACCAGGGTATGGTGATTGGCATTTACAAGTGGTGGGGTATATTTTTAAGTCAGTACAACCATCCTGTCTATTTCACGAGTTCTGGTTTGGGGCCGCGCGACATGCCCTTTTATAATATAATTGAGACATCGACCTCATGTTGTGACTGGCCCCGATACCAGCTAACCCTCGAATATGTAACACGGGTTTACTAATTTAGAATAGTTTTGTTTCGCAACTCAATCCAGCTCTTTATTACGCGTAACTAAAGCAGCCGTGAGCTAACCTAAAAATGGGCAGATTATGAGGGTTTGAAAAAAGAGTTATGTATGACATGACTTCGTTTAATACAATTATGGATTACAGTCTCTTGTAACAAAAAAATACCAAGTTGTAGTGGATGACGGAAACGTCTTTTGCAGACACTGGTGGGCTTCAGGTCTTTCTTGATGGTCCTTAATCCTAGAGGGATGAAGGGGAGACTTTTTTTTAAGTTAATCTTGGTATTTTCTTCCAGGTTAATAGAGTTTCTGTTGGGTGAGACTGACGGGACACCGCGGGAGCCACGTCATTTATTTAGGTTGTACATGGCCAAGAAACAGTTCATGGAAGCGGCCAAAACTGCGGTGAGCGCTTCAACAACACTTTTGGTCTTTGTTGTTCTTGGTTATATTTAAACTGATGTGAAGTATCGTCTAGAGTTTAGAGCAGCCTTTCCCAAAGTGGGCGATAACGCCCCCTTGTGGGCGCTGCAGGCTGAAAGGGGGGCGGTAACAGATCCAGAAAACAAATGGGAGCGTTGTACAGAAGCTTGGGAGGCAATTTGTAATTTCATCTAAGAGGACTCTTAGACACCGACTAAGCTCTCACTATAGTGGTTTTTAGGTATGTATGTGAAAATATGGGGGCGCTAAAAAATAATTTATTCTCAAAGTGGGCAGTAGACAAAATAAGTTTGGGAACCCCTGGCTTAGAGGAATGTTTTAGGGATAAGTGATTTTTTTGTTTTTGTTTTCTTACTTCTTTCTTGTAATTACTGAAGGTAGGTTTGTAATTACTGGTGGTAGGATCTCTTGTGAGTCCGCACGGGTAGGTATCACCACCCTGCTTATTACTGCCGTGAAGCAGTAATTTGTTTCGGTTTGAAGGGTGGGGCAGCCGTTGTAACTATACTGAGACCTTAGAACTCCTATCTCAAGGTGGGTGGCGGCATTTTACGTTGTAGATGTCTATGGGTTTCGGTAACCACTTAACACCAGGTGGGCCGTGAGCTCGTCCACCCATCTAAGTAATAAATAAAAAATACATGTATATCGACATAGGTACCTATACAATACGATATTTTCATACGATAAGATCTACTCGTATGTATACATACGACGCGAATTAAAAGATTGGTATTGAGTTCTATATAGTCTACATTACATTTCACACAGGTGATTATATGCAACGCGGAGTGTCGCAGCGGCCGGTACCGGGAGGCGCGCGCCGTGCTGCGAGGGGCCCGGGCCGCCCTGCGCCGCCCCCCGCGCGACCTCCGCCACGCACTGGCGCTGCTGCACTCCTACATACTGGTGAGGACATGTGTGACGCGGGGGGCGCGGGGGACAGGGAGGGCTGGGGACGGGGGGGGGGGTACACTGGGAGCGCGCTGTCTCGCACGCTCTATCTAATCTAATCATATACTAATAACCTACAAATATAATTTAATACTTTATTTTTGGTTAGACGGGTGAACACATTCAAGATCCACTTTGTGTTAAGTGTTTGAGTTAAGTCAAGATTTAAATTATAAGCTTAAACATTATTATCGTTCTATTGTCAAAGACTTTACTTCTATAATCACAGATTTCGCCAATGCTACACTATAGACAAATAATATTAAAAATACAAAATAGGAGTTTTTTTCGCAGTGGTCAATAATGGTTCAGGGCGTTATCAGAAGTGAGAAAATTAAATAACACAACTAAGACAACTAAATAACAATCGGAGCGCTTATTCGTGACTGAACTTAAAAAGTAAAAAGCAACGGAGCTTGTGGGCGCAGCCGCATGTTATGACTACGAACAATGTTGTTTAGATACATAACAAACTGTGTCCCTACAGTCGCCTTAATCTATTCTCAATTTGACCACAGATTGATAAACAATAAACAAAAGAGTATATATGTGTGTGTCTGTCAAATACATGGTAGTGTGTGTAATGTTTTCTTTTAATTGATTTAAAGTATCTTTCATGCATAATATTACGGTTTTACATAACAATAAAACCGATATTATGTGCCGAGAAGGAAAACATACAGCATTGTATTATGAAGAAGCAGTGTGTACTTAGCTTAAATTCCTTGTCTATGTCCAACCATAGACAGTCAATTTAGTTCCATCTTTAGCCGCTAGGTGCTGCCAGCAAGTATAAAGGAAGCGCAGCCATCTTTGATCTTCATAGTCTTCACCAGGAAGAACTTCCTGCAATGCTGTATGTTTTCCTTCTCGGCACATAATATCGGTTTTATTGTTATGTAANTTTACTGTTCTGTTAAGCAAAAGTTTGTCCATGTGTTGGCCGAGCCTTGGCCAACATTTGTAGCGGTGGTTAAAAATCGGTAATTTTGTTCAAAATTTAATATTATTTATAAGTTTAAAGCTTACAATATAGTTTATACTTCATGTACTTACCGAAAGTAAGATATTCCGGCCGTTAAATTGCTTTTTCGGGCCTTATTTTTGCAACTTTTGAATACACACTGCGGTATTGTGAGACGGGTTGACATTGGCTGTGTTTGAAGTGAACTAAACAAAATAAGAGCTCACATTTCAAGTGCGCTGTTATTTGACGAGACGGATTTTATGCACTGACCCGAAATCTAGTTACTATTGTTGATCGAAGATAAACAATAAAAAAAAGAGTATATATGCGTGTGTCTGTCAAATAAAGGGTAGTGTGTGTAATGTTTTCTTTTAATTGATTTAAAGTATCTTTCATGCATAATTAAAAAAATATTTACATTTTGACTCCTCTATATTCTCTGTAAGTGTGAGAAATTTCATACTCCTCTGTCCGCGCAATTTCCGTAAGAAGGGGTACAAAGTTTTTGCTTCACGTATTAATATATAGACATCGTCTGCGGGCAGGTTCGCACGCACGTCCGCCGCGGCAACCACGAGCTGGCGGCGCTGCTGCTGCTGCGCATCGCTGATGAGGTCACCTTCTTCCCTTTGCCTCAACGTAAGGACCACGCAACGTCCACAGAACTAAATCGTCCCGAACTAGACTCCGATCGTAGCGCCATCTACCGGATTCAATACTGATTCTTAATTATGCTCAAACATTCAAACGCGTGTTCAATATAATTTCTCTGGAATAGAATAGATTTGTACTGATTATGGAGGGTAGAGGTAAGGGGAACCGTGGGAGAAGCTTGAAAAAGTTCACTTTCAGTACTGAATAACAGTTCAAAAATCCTCCAGAATGGCGCTAGCATAGGCACAATATGAATTGAGCAGCTGTTAACTGATTGAAGTATGCAGAGTTAGGAAATTTAATATATTTAATGACTAGAGTAGGTAGTGAATGACAGTGTAATATACAAGACCTCACATGTTTACGTAGTCCAAACTAATTTCGTCAATATAACCTCAAATTATTGCTGTGGTATAACGTGGAGACATCGATTGCATTTATTTATCAGCTTTTTGTGATTTTGTAGTGCCTACAGTTCTTTCGTCCTTTTTTGTTTCTCGATCTTATTCTAATAACTTTCAGCGCCTTTTCTAAAAATTTACCCGGTTGCTACTGTAGCGCCACCCTTATTTAGCAGATTTTAACGGATACTTTTTTACACACAGAGGCGGTTCTACTTACCTCTCTACCCTCCATAGTATAGATCATTCTAAACAATTTCCAGATCAAGTATCGATCTTGACATCAACGGTGATCGAGTGCAGTCGCGCGGGCCTCAAGCACCAGGCCCACCGCTGGGCCAGAGCCCTCATGCAGCCCGAGCTCAGGTCTCAGGTATGGTTTGGAAGATGACGGCTCAAAGTACTCGAATCTGTCTACACTGGCGGACATATGAACCGCATCCAAACACAAGGCGACGGAAATAAATATTTAAGTATATAAAATAATTATAGATTGGTATTATTTTGTATATTGTTTTTCGGACGAAATATTCTTGTTATTGTACCCATTGAGTTTCGCGCTGGATCTTCTCAGTGGGTCGAGTTTCCGATCCGGTGATAGATTCTGCGATGCCCTGCTCTTGCTAGGGCCAGTGTTAGCAACGTCGTCAGGTTAGTGTCCCGAGAGATCAACTACTCGTTAGGTTACGTTGGCATAGCCTCTCAAGGCTACCAGCTTACTAGGCTAAGCTTAGGTGAAAAGAAAATGAAATTGTTACATTTAAAATTGTTTTTTTTATCAAACTATTATTATTTTTTATTGGACACTCTTGACGCATTCGGCGGGCTATCCAGTCAACTGCTCAATCCGTTGTAGGTTTTTTTCAAAAATTAACAATATGAAAGGTATTTTATAAGAAATGAAGTAAGTATTCTGCGTTAACAGATCGATCCGAAGTATTCCAAGAAGATCGAGTGCGTGGTGCGTCACGTGCCGCGCGGCGCCCCGCCCCCGCCCCGCGCCGCGCCCTGCCCCCGCTGCGCCCGCGCGCTGCCCGCCGCCGCGCTGGCGTGCGCGCACTGCGGCGCCGACCTGCCCTTCTGTCTCGCCACGGTAGCCGCACTCCTACGACCACACGTGGCGGACTTCATCTGCATTGGCGGTTTTTTTATCCTACCTATGCCTAGAGACTATTTCAGCTTCACCCTAATATGTAGGTGAGCTCACGGGGCTCAAACCGGAGTGGTGCTAACACTGGCCCTAGCAAGAACAGTGTTTCGCAGAATCTACCATCGTATCGGAATGACGTGTTTTGGACGACGTCGACTGTTTACCATTCGATTTACAGGATCGGGTATGTAGTTTCCAGCGGCCACGACAAGAGGGTTCTCATGTCGTGCCACCTTCTCAAAGTGAATGGTTGTATTTACAACGGCTATCGGGCTATCTGCCCTAGAGGGCGCCACATCCATTCCACAGGAAATTCTGCCAAGAATCTAGTCCTATGCAAGAGACGTCTAAAACGGCTTGCACGTTGTTTCTTAATCACTATACAGAAGGTGCCATAAACTCTTACCTAGACTTTTGGGCGTCGATTTGCCTCGACAAGATGGTCGACTTATAGGAGTATAGCATCGCCCAGCACGGTTTGTCGATGATGAGAATTGCGGCCAGGATGAAGCTTATTTATTTATTTTTACCACGTAGATAGATAAACGGACTTACTGTCCTCACCGTCCATCTGGCATGGTTGCCGGAGCCCATTAACCGCCTTTGACCGTCATGGCCGCTAGTTTTTAAATAACTATAGTTTTGTTTGTGACAGGGAATGCATATCGTCAAAGATGATTTAACTGCGTGTCCCGAGTGCGACTTCCCAGCCATTCTCAGTGAATTCACAGAGTGAGTGTCATGTGTTAGTGCAAGTGTCTATATCTCTTAGTTCATCCGTTAAACAGATGATTTGTAATTTTTATTAAGGAATTTTATGACCTGGTAACTAAAACCTTTAGGTCAAGTTTCATTTTAATTTTAATGAAAACTGCACGATCACTTTTTTATATATGAAAAATGATAATATGAAGTGAAATGAAGTTGATTAATATGAAACATGGCATGACATGAAATGAAATGAGATGATATGGGATGAAATATAATCTCAGTAAAATAGATTTTTTCAGTGGACTTTTTGGAGGATCTCGAGAAGTTACGTCCAGCGGGTTTATTTTCTCACATTTGTGCACTTTCACAGATACTAAACAGTTAACAAACCACCGTTATTACACATTTAAACCTGAACAAACATTAAATAGTCAAAATAAAATAAATCACACAAATTCACTCCTCGCGTTCCCGCCAAAAAGTCCGATGATTTATAATTGGAATATCAATTACAGATTACTCCGCGATGAAGGTAAGTGTCCGATGTGTGACGAGAGCGTGGACTACCGACGGCTGGTCAAAATCGACGATGTCTCAATTTACTTGGACTCTAACACTAGTGAGTAAGATTCAAAATCGACATTTCAATGTCAAGCAAAAATTTAGACAAGAGCGACTGTAATCGGAACTTAAGCACTACATATATGTATGTCTGAATTATAATGTGATTTGTTACACCGTTAGGTTATTTTGTGTTTATGATGATATAATTAAAAACTGTGATTACGATCCGTCCATTAAATAAATTAAATAAGTTTTGCAGTGTTTTATTGAATAGTACGGTTCTGCTTCCTTGTATTATGAAATGTTGTGTATTTAAAACTGAAAGATCGCCAGCTGAGCGACCGTGATGGAAACCGTACTGTCGGTCACTGATCAGCTGGCGATCCTCAAGATACTTCAGGAGTTGTGTATTTATTATTCGCTCCATCAACTTGGAAAGCAAGGAAGTTATCGCGATAGGCCTATAGCTCGACGGGTCCGACCGATCACCCTTCTTGGGGATAGGGTGGACGTGAGCGGTCTTCCATGAAGACGGAACCCTGTTAGTGCAATAAGAGAGGCGATACAAACGCGTTAGCGCAGGTGTCAGCTCAGGGGCGCACGTTTTCAAAACCACTGCGGAGATGCCGTCTGGCCCACTCGACTTATGGACGTCCAGGAGTCGGAGCTCCCGCCTAACTGCACACTGTGTGAAGCAGATATCCGACAGGGAGCTATCACACGGGGGGATGTTCGGTGGTGTAGCACCCCCGTCGTCCACAGTCGAGTTCGAGGCGAAGAGTTTGACCAGAAGGTCAGCCTTCTCTTTCGCGCTGTGATTATAGATAGATAGATAGATTATAAGAAATAACTTATCAAGGTAAATATTTATTACGACAACATTAAGAATACTATTTTATTATTTGTTGATTTTGGTTACTCCGTTTTTAAGGTAACGACTAGATCGTATATTATTTTATTGAAATAAAACAATGGTAGTAATTGGTGAAACATTTATTTTTCATTTGAAGGAATACCATGCTGTAAATACACGTCCGATGCTGAGATTCAAATGAAACACAAAACGCAAATATCGTATTATACAAAATTGCAAAGAGTGCATAGAACCGAACGCTCGGCCGTTACAAAAAAAAAAAACAGATCGTACTAAATGTTTACGTTATTTCCGATATTTTTTATGTGTCCAAAACAGTTACTATATTTTTTTTGTTAAAAAAAGTTTTTCCTGTAGATATGTATGTCAGAATTTGTTTGATAAAGCGCCGAGCGTTGGCACACGCAACTCAACTAATTCCCCTCCGCCTGTATTAATCTACAATCAATTACTACCTAATACAATTAACGCTAACTATGCCTTGTGCAGACAAATACATTTATACAACTTAGAATAGTGACAAGACGATCGAATGATAATAACAAAACTCATTGTGCTAATATTACAATGAAGGCTATTTAGTAGCTATGTAGCATACCGAGTCGCTAGAATGTATCTAATTATACGCGTAAAAAAACAATTAATATGACGTTTAGACGTACTTTCTTCTGATTGGTATTCTAAAAAGTTTGTAAATTTGAAAAGTCTTAAGAATTAGGCTCTAGTTGTTAGTTTCTTTTTAAAAATCGAAGTAAAAATCAGATGACATTCTTAAATTTGTTAATATCAATTAAAGATAAAAAGAATAAAAACAGGCCTTTCCATAACTATTCTTTATATATTATGTTTCGCGGTATTCATATTAGTGGTACACCTAAATACAAACGAAAATGAATGAACCATACTTTCTATATTTTACTGTGATATAGGTACTTATTATTTCTAAAAAAATATCAATGCAATTTTGCTGATTCACAAAGTAATCGCAAAATGATTTTATTTTTGTTTTCATTCTAGCCCTTCATTTCACTTTTCTTTTTTCTAAATGAGCTCTTATTTTTAGCACTTACACGTGTAGCACTTTACAGTTTTAAAGAAATTTCCATAGATACATAATACACTTAAGATTTGGAAATGTCATCTTACAAATAAACTAATCTGCGGACATGACATTAAAAAACCACAAGATTGAAAATTGAAAACATTAGAATAAAAAGAAACCGCTATAAACTTTTTTTTTGGGAAAAATATTTTATATTAAAAAGCATATTATGTAACGGTTTTATATTTGATAAATTAATGTGATATGGGGTCAGTGTTGTTCCAGTATTAAGTCCGAATCTCAACTTATTTACTTAAAAGCCATTCAATGCAATATGGACCTGTTTTTTAAGAAGTGCAAACGGCAACCGGTCCGATTATATCGAAGTAGTTTAAAAGCCAATAAATAATATAGTATGTTTTAATTACATAATCAATAATGTGGGACATTTACTAAATAATTCGACTATACATTTTTCCTGTCAAAAGAGTGGGCTATTATAACTCGCGGTGGACGAATATAAAAAAACAATTCAATGAAACAACGTGTAACATATTCCATGTAAATATGGTATTTAAATATATTTAATTATTACATTTTGAGTTACATAATATTGGCCGGATGAGTGTGTGCTCGTTTCTAGTCCACTCTTTTAACTTTAAAATAGTTTATTTACAGATATATATTATAAAAAATATATTGAAAAGGTTGATGGCACTTGGTTGCGTTGTGAAAATATTAAAATAATATAAATTTCTTTAATATAAGGACAAAACGAACAGGCTTTAAATTTGACACATTAGTATTTGCCAAACTAAAGTGTTTAAAGCTGTGCAGTAAGTAACAACATAGATAAGTATGTATATAGCATTCAGTAGTTATAAGTCAAAGCAAATACAGTTAGTTTTGAATGTTCTTAGTTAAGGTTTATAAGTAAAAATATAATCAGTTAATGGACAAATTAAGATAAATTTGTAATTTGGACTGAGAATTGATCTGAGAAACTGAAAAACTAAAAAAAACGATGGCAGTTTTCAGATGAAACTTAAAATTATGTAAATGTTTTTGATTATGTTTTCTGCATTATTTTATTTAAAAAAATTACTATATTATTTATTTATTGAAGATATACATTTTTCAAATATATAATTGCCTAAAAATTGTAGTTTATTACACATAAAAAAAACTAAACAAAAATGTATGCTTATGTTGTCCAGATTTAGTAATGATGTATATTATAATATAATTAATTAAATATGAATAAAAATGCACTGACTTGCAGCTACATCAAACTTCAGCACAAAAGTTTGGCAATTACTTTAAATAAGTTTTATATCAAACTAAATTAGAAGATTAATACACAACAGTAAGAGGGAATGTATAAAATTATTTTCAACTATATCAATGTTAACTCCTCAACAATAAATACTATAAATCTTTGGTTTCATTTAGTCGTTTGATTATAAAAAGTTTTTATTCTTTGCACATCATAACATTGCTAGAGATGGCGAGCTTCATTACATACAACTTAGAGATTTTATGCATAAAATATTTTTTAAAAAATTTGAAGAACTATTTATTATTCTACGGTTCATAAGAACGACGGCCGTCGAACGCGGCTCGGGGACACATTTTGCGTGTGACGAGGACGTCCTGGAGCGCGCTACTATGGAGCTATACAATCTATGGGATGATAGAATCCTTTTGGCACTGTCCGATGCCGGATCCAGTTCGAGTCTAAACTGGTCGTTTTCGACATGGCGTCTGTCGTTCGGGACGCGATCACGGAACAAGATTCGGTGACAGATCGACAAAATAGGCTACAGGAAACATCTTAATTGATTTATTGTGATACGAATAAGTATAGTCGGTAGCTCACTGCAGACGGGCCAGCTGCTTCGGAAGCGCAGCCACCACTCGCACGCGGTCACTGAACTGGGGCGGCGGCGCCAGCAGCGGGGCGCCGCCCTCCGCCGCCGCGGCCGGCTCCTCCGGCGGGGGCGGCAGCTCGGCCAGCAACACGGCGGCGCGCGCCCGCCGCCCCGGCGCCTTGTCCACGTCCACGCCGAGCCGCTCCGCCGCCGAGCGGCCCCGCGNCTGAACTGGGGCGGCGGCGCCAGCAGCGGGGCGCCGCCCTCCGCCGCCGCGGCCGGCTCCTCCGGCGGGGGCGGCAGCTCGGCCAGCAACACGGCGGCGCGCGCCCGCCGCCCCGGCGCCTTGTCCACGTCCACGCCGAGCCGCTCCGCCGCCGAGCGGCCCCGCGCGCCCGCCGCGCCGCGCAGCACGGCCGCCGTGGCGCGCTTGCGCGTGAGCGAGTTGTGGCGCTGCATGACGCCGGCGGCGGGCGCCAGGCTCTCCGACGAGCTGTGCACGGGCTCGGTGCTGATGACGTCGTTGGACGACTTGACGGTGACGGAGCTGCAGAAGGAGACCTTGTCCCGCCGCGGCCGCGCCTGCGCCTCCTGGTCCGAGGAGACGCCGGAGGATGAGTTGTCGCCGTCGTCGCGCTCGGCGCCGCCCAGCTCGTCGCCGCACGACTTGGACGACTTCAGTCTCGTGCGGATCTTCTGTATCTCGTCCACCGAAAACGAGTGCTGCATCGAGCTCGACCCCGAGCTGCTGCCACTGAAGTGCACGACAGCGGATCAAAGGGATGTTACTTAGTAAACATTCTGAACAGAACGATTGCGACGTGAACACGCGACAGAACACCAAGGACGGGAATTTAGATAACTCCACAGAAAGCTACATCACATTATTAGAGGATTACCCTCTTTTATCATTAAATAACATAAAACTCTTGAACAATGAACAAAATGGTATTTCGTGACCCAATCCCAATGCCTCAAGGAAACCAGAGTACATGATGATATTATAGCGAGACGCACAGTCACCACCCCCGCAAATATTTTCTCTACAACTGTACCTTATTATTTAACGAATTACGTATTGTCGTTGATATTTTATTCTCCGTCTATCTCATAGATCGTGGCATATATTGGAATCCTGAAAACCAGAATAACGCTATTATGTATGTCGCAGCAACTGGACCCGAAACGTGCCACTTCTTTATCATATTTCAATATTATCTCAACGACTTAGACCTGTTAGAGTAAAATGTCTACTTTCCCACGAAGTCATTGTCATGAAGTCGTCGTTGCTAAATACAAATATCGAACATGGGAAATAACGCAACAACCTCCCAATTGTTTTATGTGAATGCGTTCTTTTAACACCACGAAAATGACTAAATAAAATCGTGTATTAATAATATAATTAAGGGAAGACTTATAAATTTGTGTGAACAGTTCATGAGCTCGCCCGGGTAGATGGCCCCGGCGTCACTATTTCTGCCGCGAAACAGTCGTGCCTTCCGGTTGTAAGGGCGGGGACACACGATACAATTGGCATATTGTATTTTGCACTTTAAATTTATTTCCAATAAATCTGATGATCAATACTCTGATGGTGAGCTCTATTTGTGTGACTTAATTTCGTCTGGGACATTAAAAAGTCGCGACACGCGTCGTCGAGGGCGGACCCCACCTGGTATTGCTGTTGGCGCTGGTCTCGGCGGCGGGAGGGGGCCGCGCCGCGTCCTCCTCGTCCGACTCGGACATGCTGTAGTCCGGCTCCGGGATGGGCGGCGCAGGCGTCGAGTTCTGCGAACAATCCTACCGTCACTGGTCGACTCGGTGGTGCAATTTTTTTCCCCTAAGCTGATGGTCTTGAGAGACCATATCGGCGTTACCGGGCGAGTAGATGAGCTCACGGGGCTCAAACCTGACGTTGTTGCTAACACTAACCCTAGCAAGAGTCGTGCTTCGCAGAATCTACCACCGGATCGGAAACGCAACGCACTACAAAGATCCGGCGAGAAACTCAGTGGGCTGACTCTGAGGGTTAATTTACTCGCCGAGCCCTCCGTCGTAAGCGACGGGTTCGACGACTACGATGATCGGCCCTGGGGCACCTAAAAGCACCGTTAGTGGATCGGCAGGATTCAAAATCAGGTGTTTTGGGCGACGTCGACTGTTTACCATTCGGTCTGCAGAATCGGGTATGAAGGTGCAATACTCAATACCCCTGATCGCCGAGCGTCAGCCCGAACGTTCGATTCCTATCGACAAACATTTGTGCCACTAACCAATTAGTTTGCTCTGTCTCGGCGTGTATTATCTATTTATTGAAATGCACATATATACATAGGTATGTATGCCAGTCTCTGGTTCCCATAGTTAGGGTAACCTTGTGAAATGTCCCCAATCATTTTATTAACAAAACAAAAAAATTGAATGGAAAATTGTAGTTTCCAATGGAAACAATGTTTTTTCGAGTTAAGAGGTAGCCTGTCCCTCCCCTGACCTTAAAATCATTATTTAAAAAAATATACATATATTTCAATTCATTGCTTTGTTTCGACGTGAAAAAAGGACGAACAGACACAAAAATAAAGACATTTTCACCTTTATAATATTCGAATGGAAGTATGGATGACATTCGTTACTCTTTTTTTTCGTAGAACGAGCACGTGCTCTAGGTAGACGACACTTTCGCGTAATGACAACAAGCCGCGCGGGGTGCTCGCTCGGCCCCCACTTTCACACGTCTTTCAGGGTCTGTTTATATCTGGTTTCACTTTGTCACCAGACTGCTGTTTTTATTTAAGCTTTTAAGGCGGAGACAAGTAAAGAAACAAAACATATTTGTGTGTAATTTAAAAGTCTGTTGACATTCTCTAACGAAAAGGAAAATGTCAAACTGTGCGAAGGGGTTTCTATGAAGGACGACACAGTACCTGTCTGACAAAGCCCTTGGGGAAGGGTTGCGCGTACTGTCCGCCCTCGTCGGCGGAGCGCGCGCGCGCCGGGCCCGCCCACGAGCGCGCCGACACCGTCTTGCGATTCTGTTCCATTATTTCATTTAACTAAGCAATTAAGTTTTTGAATAAAACATTCAGATACATATGTCGTATTTATTTGTTGTACTTTATTGTCTCACAATAAAAGGTACATTTTATAAACTTTGTAGATTTTGAATTTCATATTTATGTCGATGAAAATGAAAAGTAAACTGCAAAGCCTCGTTTTGATAGCTTACTGATAATCAAATTTGTTTAGTTTTCTATAGAAACAAAATAAAAACGTTTTTTTTTTTAATATTTGTCAGATTTGTCATGTGACACTTGTTGTGACATTTGTCACGTGACATGTGATTTGTTATACGATATATCTGCAGTAATGAGAACTAAGCTGAAGTCACCTGTGCAATATTGTTGGCTAATAATCGACCAAATAATAAATGAGTGGAATAGGTACGTTGTGCGCGGGCGGCGGCGCGCGATAGGCGAGCGGCGCCAGGGCGGCGGGCGCGGCGTACAGCTTGGCGTCCTCCGCCGGGCGGAACGTGGACGCGGGGGGCGCGGGGACCGACCCGGGGGGCGGCGGCGGGGGGTGCGCCGGGGGGGGCACGCGACCGCAACCTAACACAACACACTCATCATCGTAATGTACTGAAAATAATACACATTTAAAGGCACATTCTTACTGGACCCCGTGTGAGTCCGCACGGGTAGGTACTACCGCCCCGCCTATTTCTGCCGTGAAGCAGTAATGCGTTTCGGTTTGAAGGGTGGGGCAGCCGTTGCAACTATACTGAGATGTTAGAACTTAAATCTCAAGTTGGGTGGCGCATTTACGTTGTAGATATCTATGGGCTCCAGTAACCACTTAACAACAGGGCTGTGAGCTCGTCCACCTATCTAAGAAATAAAAAAGGCAAATTAAAAAAAACTTAGTACTATGAATATCAAGTACTTCAAATAGTATATAATTAAGATTGACATGACATGAAGTTATTAGCAATGGCAATGTTACCGTGCACGTCGTCGGTGGAGCGCGTGCGGGGCGGGTGCGGCGCCAGCTCGGCGGCCAGGTCCGGCGTCGAGTGGAACTCGCGCCGCAGCGTGCCGGGGCACTTGCTCCACAACTGTGTAACACAGTTCAATGTTTTACATCATTTTATTGCGACCCGTGAGTTCGCGTTCACTGCATCTTAACACATTTTGTTCTTATCTATACTAATGTATAAATCTACAGTGGTTTTACGGATGTTCCATTATAACTACGGAATCATGCATTCGACTGACTTGAAACTTGGTATCCATGTAGAAAATACATGTACTAAATGGATAGGCTAATATTTATATGAGTGTTAGACTCCCTACACCAGCTGCGGGGGTCACTGTGGGGGTGAGAAACAATAATGTTAATTTTAAACGCTCAGCGAAGCGGACGGGTACAGCTAGTTTGTATATAAGCGTGTGCCACCGCAGTAGCAGATGAGCCCACTGAGTTTCTCGCCGGATCTTCTCAGTGCTCAAACCGGAAATGTTGCTAACACTGGCCCTAGCAAGAGCAATGTTTCGCTGAATCTACCAGCGGATCAGAATCGGGATCCATTGAGAAGATCCGAGAAATTCAGTGAATTCAAAGTTTCACGTTTTTATCAGCCGAGTAGTTAAGACGAATGAAAAAGTAAGAAAGTCTGCCATCTGTATTGGCGAATAGATCCAAAGCACTGCACACGGACCTATATAGGACGGGCAGAAGAACAATAGAAAAATGGCGGGAAACCCGTTTTTATTTTTCAATTTTTTTAAATGTCGTTAATAATTTTAATGTCATTATTAAAATCAGCCAAATACAAAATTCTAAGTTTCAGTTGATTGATCACTGTTAAAGTATTTTTTATTATTATATTTATTTCATGTCTATTTAGTCAATATCATATTTGTACTATGAAATATACACAAATTCATAGATATTTTGAAATATTTTCATAGACAAGTCAACGTGTTGCCCGGCCGCACTAACCTTGGCTCGAGACCTCTTCATTTCGGCGACGGAAGCGTACACCTTACCGGGTCCTTTGGCCGGCGAATAGGGCGGTGAGTTCGCTCCTCCTTGGAAGGCGGAACGTATCATCATCGCATTGTTTCCACCCCTGGAACATGTAGTATACCACGGTCACTTTACAGAAAACTGGTTAAACATACGAAGATGTTTTCTTGCTTTAAGGATAAAATAGACAATCAATAATATTCATAGACATTTAGAGCTACTTTAAAGGAAGGCCTGCTGCTAAAATGGTACTGCATTGAGGTGAGTGCTGCGATCCTGTATTATTTCTCAGGAGAAACCACTTATTGCTATAGAGATATGTAGATATTTGTTGTTTTTTTTTCAGTCAGGCAATTGAAGACATTAGTGGAAAAATCAAATAGCCTTCCAACCCTCGATATGAATAGGTGTACGGTAGGCAGCGGCTTGGCTCTGCCCCGGCATTGCTGAAGTCCATGGGCGACGGTAACCACTCACCATCAGGTGGATCGTATGCTCGTCTGCCTACAACGGCAAAAATAAATAAATAAATAAAAGGACAGGCGCCAAGGAGTATCCATGTGATAAAAGAGCAACTGGCTGGCGGCGTATCGCGTCCTGATCCAGCACACTGGTTCTGGTCCAGGCAGGTCTGGACACCAGCGGCACCGTCTGGGCGGCCTGATGGGCTGCCGTACCGAGACGGCCGATGTTTCAGATCCTTCGATTCGCCTCGAAGATTCTGTCGGCAGGGAGTCCTTGGGGTGAGCTCCACCGTTTGGTTGTGGTTTTGACTGCGGTAACCCCCTTACCTCACCTCGGAGGGGATCGGACGCTTGGGCGAAGAGTGCAGGAGAGTCGTTTAGTGGGTAGGGCCCTGAAAACATCCTTGGGGCTGCGGTCTTGCAGTCGCGGACCAGTTCCACATACCCTGCGCGCCCCCTAGGCGCGGGGACCTCGTAGGAGGTTCGGGCCACGGCACGAAAAAAAGAAAAGAAAAAAGAGTGCGGTACTCACGGAGCGTCGGCGACGGCCTGCCGCTGGAACAGCTCCTCGAGCTCGGCGGCCGTGATGCGCGACGACGCGGGCCGCTGCCGGACCGACGCCGTGCGCGGCGCCGCCCCCGCCCCGCCTGCTGCACACCGCGGGACAAGCCTTTAGCATTCAGTGTATAGTCTGTGCTCGGACTGACGCGCGCACTCCGCCATTGGGACGCCGGTTTTTGAACTACCTACTGTATACTGTACGCCAGTGTACGCATGCTTGACTTGGGGAGTAAGCTGGTGAGTACGTTAAATAAAGTGTGATCGGGCGAGGCGAACGGAAGTTGAGAGGGAGATATAAAATCTCGAAGATCGAAAGAGAGAGTTTTAACTTGTAAATTACTGTAAAGGCAAGGGGAGAGGTACGAGCACATATTTTCCTTCTCTCTTCCTCTCAAATATATTTAAATTCATTTCTTATGCAAAAATATTTATATATCAATGGAAACCCTTTAAATTTAGTTAAATAAGTTTTACTTCAGTTGTGTAGTCTAAAACAAAGTTTTATTTCGGCGTATCGAATACTTTGAACTTTCTGTGGTCGCTGACGACTGACGTATCAGTCGGTTATCTCCTGAATATCGCGCTAATTGATTGACGGTGAGATTGTTTAATCGGGGGTGTGTCGGCGACGGTGTGACGTCACTGACCGCTGGCGACGCCGGGCTGCTGTACAGACTCTGCTGATGAGGACTTCCCGGCGGCGCTCAGCGGCTCGCAGCTCTCCTCTTTCTCGCCGCCGTTCTCTGCAACACGAGGCGGGACGGTAACTCGCGGCCTGCATACTGTCCGCCGATACGGACGCGAACACGTTCAGTGTGCTTCATGTGTTTGCCTACGTTTGCCGCTAAGGGCGCTGTTCCAACTGCATACAAAATTGGGCTAACCTTTACGCTATCGAGAACGTTATAATACTCGCACTAAGCACACAGATCAGTATTACGTGTTTTGATAAGTAATTAATTGTGTATTTATTTATTTGGAATCGTAAATTCTATTAACTTGACCCTATGAAGCCGTTTAAAATAACAAGTAAACTAGGCATTATTAATTAATTTACTATTATTACGCTACATAACTTTACTTTTGTGAGAGATTGTATATAGATTCCTCTCTCGTATGCACGTTAGTTTGGGGCGTTCACTGTGAATCGATATAATCAATTTCTAGTCTCATCTTTAAATAATCGTTTTTTTTTTGTAACGTTTGTATGAATAAATGAATATTTTAAGCATCTTGACGCGTTGAAACGAGTGGCCGGTTGTGTGTGGTGTAAGCAGAAACACCTCAAGACACAGCCCACTGAGTTTCTGGCCGAATCTTCTCTGTGGATCGCGTTCCGATCCTATAGTAAACACTCTTGCTGGAGCTAGAGGTTATAGCCCGTGAGCTCAGCTACTTTGTTTTTTTTTATTGCTTAGATGGGTGGACAAGCTCATAGCCCACCTGGTGTTAAATGGTTACTGGAGCCCATAGACATCTACAACGTAAATGCACCATCCACCTATAAAGTTCTAAAGTCTCAAGTATAGTTACAACGGCTGCCCCACCCTTCAAACCGAAACGCATTACTGTTTTACGGCAGAAATAGGCAGGGTGGCGGTACCTACCCGCGCGGACTCACAAGAGGTCCTACCAGCAGTTACTCGCTGGGTTACGCTGACATAACCGCCTATTTTAGCAGAATAAGTAGGAAAAACAAAAGTGAGTGGAGTGTTTGTTACTAGAGTAAGTATGAAGTAAGTGTAGTGATTACCGAGTCCGGCGACCATGGACTTGGCTCGCGCGCGGCCCACGCTGAGCGTGGTGCGGGGGTCGCGGCGCGGGGGCGCGGGCGCGGGGCTGCGGCCTGCGACACAACGCTGCTCGTGTTAACCGACACACACAACTCCGCACTGGTCGGTCAGTTTAGGTTGTTTTTGAAGTGAGACTTCTAATGCGACTTCTAACAAGGTTGCGTTAAGCGTTTAACGCTAGCATAGAATAGAAAGAGACAGAGCGAGAGTGAATGCGTGTCACTCGAGCGCATGCGCGGTGTATACCTGTTACAGGTCAGCGCGAGCGTTAGTAACGAGTAGCGGCCAATATTTTAATGAAGTATTTAAAAAATATTTACATTTATTTTTCTATCTATAATTTAAAATATATATAAATGTTGAAAATGTTGCGCATCTCTTATAACCAGCATTCCCTATTACAAGAGCTATCTGATTTAAGGATGAAAAATGAAGAAAACGACAATACTACACAACGAAAAAGAAGTTTCACTTCATTCACGTGCACCAAGTTTCACGCGCACCGTTTTTTTTCCTTTAATAAATAAGTAATAAAGTTTTAGATAGATTTATGTTAAACGATAATTAATTAACCAAGGAGAATAACGATAGCTCGTAATATAAAAACAATAGAATTTCTGTTTAGACAACAAATCTTTTTTCACAGGCTTTGATTGAAGTGCAAAACTTCCGATTGTTGTTAATCGTATATAGTGTTTAACAAAAGTTATCAAGCGGAAAACTGTAGACAGACACTGTCCTATTAGAATAACCGATTCCACTGAAATCATCTTTTATAGTATGAGGTAGCGCCCTCTGTGAATTGATATTTTAACTTCACGTATTAAAATTCTAATTCTAAATTAAAATTCACTACAAGAGATTTCATATACACGTTAGTATTAAAAAATCTCATAGATGGCGCTGTATTAAAAAACACTACAGACTTATTTTTTCGTTTCATCGAGTTTGAAATCACAACGATTCTAAAGAAGTTTCACTTCAAAAAGCAAATATATTTTCTTTTTAATTTCGGTATAATATATAATTTTAATTGCAAGTATTGTGAGGAAAAAATCCCAGTAGTTGTACGAACCTCCGGCTGCTTTCCTAGGTAAGGTGGCGGCGTACGGCCTCCCACTGTTGGGCAGCTGGCTCTGGGACTTGCCGGCCGGCACCGCGCACGCGCTACCCTCGTTTGCACCTGAAATATTTCATTTAAGTTCGCTTTATGATCACATTATTAAAACTGGACCGTTTAATTGTGATTAAAATTTTATTTTAGAAATACACATTGGATAATAATACCTACTTTTTTTCCTACCTAAGCTGATGGCCTTGAGAGGCTATGTCAGTGTAACCTTAACAAGAAGGTGAGTTCAAGGAGCTCAAACCCAGACGTCGTTACTAACACTGGCCCTAGCAAGAGCAGTGTTCCGCAGAATCTACCACCGGATCGGAAACGCGACCCACTGAGAAGATCCGGCGAGAAACTCAGTGGGCTGTGTCTATGAGGTAATTTATTCGCCGAGCCCTTCGAGAACGATGACCGGTAATACACACAGTTCTCAGCCGGTTCTTTTGATGCAACTTACAAAACAGAGCACTTGGTTGTTTTACGACGTTCGTTGTACGGTTTGTAAGTAAAGTAAGGTTATCTTAAGTAAATAAAACCAGTTCTAAATTCGCTCGCATACCTATATTGTCACAGAATTAATGTCACAAGTGTCTGCCGTGTCGGGTGGGCTATCTACGACTGACTCATTATAATAAGCGTATGTGACACTTAAACTGTGTCCCTACATTCGGTTTAGTGTTTGTGGATGTTATTGACAGTGCTACTGTGGTCGCGTGTGAGCTCTTTGACAAGACACACGACCTACAAAGATTGGACATAGACTAAGACGGAGACTTGACAGGTGATTCGAAATGAAACAAAAGAAGGTTTTTTTTATTGCTTAGGTGGGTGGACGAGCTCACAGCCCACCTGGTGTTAAATGGTTACTGGAGCCCATAGACATTTACAACGTAAATGCGCTACCCACTTGAAACATAAGTTCTAAGGTCTCAAGTATAGTTACAACGGCTGCCCCGCCCTTCACACCGAAACGCATTACTGCTTCACGGCAGACATAGGCAGGGCGGTGGTACCTACCCGCGCGGACTCAAAGACGTCCTACCACCAGTAAATGGAACGAGGGCGGCCATGACTGGCGGCAGGAGGCAGGACCAGACGACAAGGAACGAATCGACCGTTCAACTACTGACCGCACAGAGCCCCACCTTGCGAGGAGCTGAGCGAGACGACGGTCATGGAGACGAGCGCGCCGGAGTTGCGGATGAGCTCCACCACGTGCTCGTGCGACGCGGCCGACACGTCCTCGCCGTTGATCTGGAACATGTGATCAAAATAAATCTATATACCTAGTCAGGTCATAAGTATTGTCACACAGTAAAAACTTTTCTTTTAGAATGCTGGCCACAAAAAAGTTTATTGAATTCGAACTTCGAATTGTTCATGAAAATAAAAATGTATAACTTTTAGAATTATACTCATTTTTAAATATGGAGTGGACGCTTAAAGAAGACCGTGTTGCAGTTATTGCGTTGCATCGTTGCGGTTACGCGCAAATTTTTAACATACTGAAAATTTTGAATATAACCAAAAGATTCGTTTATCGTACCATCAAACGATACAATGAAGACTCTAGTGTAGATGACAGGTCAAGAAGTGGTCGCCCTCGGTCTGTTAGGACTCCAGCAGTGATAAAGCTGTGAAGGCGCGAATTCAAAGAAATCCCAAACGTAAGCAGAAACTGTTGGCCCTTCAGATGGGGTTATGCAGAACCACGGTGAAAAGGGTGTTAAATGAAGACTTAGGGCTTCGGGCATATCGAAGAAAAACAGGACATCGTTTGAATGCTCGTCTAATGGACCTGAGACTGAAGAGATGCCGCGCTTTGTTGAAGCGGTACGCGGGAAAAAAATATAGGAAAATTCTTTTTTCGGATGAAAAATTTTTTACCGTAGAAGAGAGCTACAACAAACAAAATGATAAGGTGTACGCACACAGTAGTGAAGAAGCGAGCAACCGTATTCCGCGTGTCCAACGAGGTCATTTTCCATCCTCGCTCATGGTATGGTTGGGAGTTTCTTATTGGGGCTTAACAGAGGTACATTTTTGTGAGAAAGGTGTAAAAACGAATGCAGTTGTGTATCAAAATACAGTCCTGACGAACCTTGTGGAACCTGTTTCTCATACCATGTTCAATAACAGGCACTGGGTATTCCAACAAGATTCGGCGCCAGCTCATAGAGCGAAGAGCACACAAGACTGGCTGGCGGCGCGTGAAATCGACTTCATCCGGCACGAAGACTGGCCCTCCTCCAGTCCAGATTTGAATCCGTTAGATTACAAGATATGGCAACACTTGGAGGAAAAGGCGTGCTCAAAGCCTCATCCCAATTTGGAGTCACTCAAGACATCCTTGATTAAGGCAGCCGCCGATATTGACATGGACCTCGTTCGTGCTGCGATAGACGACTGGCCGCGCAGATTGAAGGCCTGTATTCAAAATCACGGAGGTCATTTTGAATAAACTTTAGTGTCATAAGAATCTATGTTTTGTTAAGTTCATTTTGGTATATGAATGGTTACATAATGAATAAACTTGTTTCAATTATTTTACATTAAACATGTGACAGAATTTATGACCTGACTAGGTACATATATAAAAACTAGCGACCCGCCCTCGCTTCGCTTCGGAAACTGTAATTTATTATTGACTAGTTGACCCCGGCAGACTTCGTAGTGCCTTAATCGATAAATAAAAGACCTAAACTTTTGGATAAAATAAACTTAAAACAAACTTAAGGAATCCGTCCGACAGGAAACAGACACATCAAAGGAAAAACAAAATTGCTATTTTTATTTAATTCCGACCATTTTCATATTTATCTGCCTTTTAAACCTTCTCTGGACTTCCACAAATAATTCAAACCCAAAATTAGTTAAATCGGTCCAGCCGTTCTCGAGTTTTAGCGAGACTAACGAACAGCTAAAGAAAATGCTCGGAATAAAAAAAAAAAAAATTTGTTTTTCCTTTGATGTATCGCCCGTCGGACGTATTCCTTTTGTTTGTGTGTTTTCAGTTTATTTTATACAAAAGTGAGGCATTACGAAGTCTGCCGGGTCAGCTAGTGCAATATAAAAATAGGCTTTTTAGCGGGGATGCCAGAAGTGAGGTTATTAAGATTAATTGTTTTATTTTGTTAATTTAGTATAATAATAGTGAGTCGTTGTGGCCTAAAGGATAAGATGTCCGGTGCGTTCGTATGTAGCGATGCACCGGTGTTCGAATCCCGCAGGCGGGTACCAATTTTTCTAATGAAATACGTACTCAACAAATGTTCACGATTGACTTTCACGGTGAAGGAATAACATCGTGTAATAAAAATCAAACCCGCAAAAATTATAATTTGCGTAATCACTGGTGGTAGGACCTCTTGGGAGTCCGCACGGGTAGGTACCACCACCCCGCCTATTTCCGCCGTGAAGCAGTAATGCGTTTCGGTTTGAAGGGTGGGGTAGCCGTTGTAACTATACTGAGATCTTAGAACTTATATCTCGAGGTGGGTGGCGCATTTACGTTGTAGATGTCTATGGGCTCCAGTAACCACTTAACACCAGGTGGGCTGTGAGCTCGTCCATCCATCTAAGCAATAAAAAAAAAAAAAAAAAAAAAAGAGTTATTAACCGTTTAGAATCAGTGCACGAGCATCGAAAAAGGAAACAAGATCTCCGGATGTGGCTTTACGGCTTTGGGGGAATCTACAAAGTCCATTGAAGTCTTAGTAAAAACCACCATTTTACTGAGCCTTTATCTCCAACTCATCTGTTTTCATTTAATTTCATTTCAAATAAATTGACTTTATCTCATTTCGCGTATGTATATAATACACATTATATTATTATTTTTATAAATTAACTACTGGCAACAATGGTATTGCTAGAAGTCGATGGCCATATTTAAAATAGAAATCCCAAGCTCGATAACTTCGAATATAACATAAAACCTAAAGCTTCATACTAGGGGGATTTAAAGGTTGGACAAGAATTGATGGGACAACCTTAGAATAAGTGGCATAAAGTCGTTTCCGTTTTGTTTTCTACTTAACCAAAACAACGAAGTAGTCTTTAAGCTTTACTCATAAATGTCAGTACAGAGATGATTGGCGATAGAATCGAGGAGAGGTCCACTTAGTACAGACATACACATGTATAATAGATTTGTAAGTTCAATGTGAAACTGAGAGTATTATATAGTAAAAGACAAATTTAATTTAATTTAAAAATCATCTACTGTTCACATTCACGTAACAAATTCTAAAAGATCAGTTGGAATAAAACCGTGTACATACATATTATTATATAGTTCCAAGTATATTATTCAAGAACAGAGAATCAATTGCAGTAACTCGAGTCGGATAACCATTTCAGTAAAATTCGATTAGGAAGTCGTCCGGTCTCCCTTTTTGATTGCAGAGGATGCTCTGCCGAAATTAAAATGGAGTACTGAAAATAAAGGACGCATCAATGGTACTGCACTTAGAAATACGAGAGACGAGACATCACGAGTATGTAATAAGTTCAATAGTTTTAGTCACAAAAACAACAATTAAAACCTTTTTGAAACTTAAAAGAACAGCCATCGTGTTAATTCGAGGCGCTCTCCCGACGACACATTACCACGTACTGGAAGTTGTTTGTTTATTAATTGCGTTTGTTTATTGATTTCACACTTTATTTTGTAAACACTCGCAATTTTCTTCTGTTCGTAATCACGTTTATGAAATGAGAAATTCTAACTAATTACAAGGGAGACAATACTTTAAATAGAAACAAGAGACTGCTTACAAGAGAGACAATACTTCAAAGAGAGACGAGAATCTGCCTATCGGGAGGTGGAAGGTGTACATTTGGGAGACCAACGACCTTGACTTACGAGTAGAGTTGTTCGGACGAGTCCGTTGCTGAGAGCAGAGGGTTCCGCCCCCTACTTGAATCACGATTGAAGTTTTGAGGGTACTTACTCTCTTATTTATGTTTCTACGGACTACGCTTTACTTTTTTCGTACGTATGCTGATAGCCTTGAGAGGCTATTTCAGCTTCTCCTTGACGTGTAGGTGAGCTTAAGGGGGCTCAAACCGGGAGTGTTGCTAACACTGGCCCTAGCAAGAGCAGTGCTTCGCAAAATCTTCGCTCACTGAGTTTCTCGTCGGGTTTTCTCAGTGGGTCGTGTTTCTGATCCGGTGGTAGATTCTGCGAAGCACTGCTCTTGCTAGGGCCAGTGTTAGCAACACTCCGGTTTGAGATTCGTGAGCTCACTTACACATGTTAGGGCGAAGCTGTAATAAAGCGCTGTAGTGGACACAATGGTTGTGGATGAGACTAGTTACCGCTACGAGGAAGTCCCCCTTGGCGAGGCCGGCGCGGTCGGCGACCCCGCCCGCGTCCACGTCGTCCAGGTACTGCAGCGCCGGGCAGCGCTCCGACGGGCGCAGCTCCATGAGCGGGGACGACGCCTTGGCGCCGCGCAGCACGAAGCCGAACCCGCGCCGCGCCCGGTGCAGCACCACCGTGCGGCACTCCATGCCGCCGTACCTGACCACACGACCACCTCTTGNCTTGGCGAGGCCGGCGCGGTCGGCGACCCCGCCCGCGTCCACGTCGTCCAGGTACTGCAGCGCCGGGCAGCGCTCCGACGGGCGCAGCTCCATGAGCGGGGACGACGCCTTGGCGCCGCGCAGCACGAAGCCGAACCCGCGCCGCGCCCGGTGCAGCACCACCGTGCGGCACTCCATGCCGCCGTACCTGACCACACGACCACCTCTTGTGACTCCGCACGGGTAGGTACCACCCACCATCCTGCCTATTGCTGCCGTGAAGCAGTAATGCATGGGGTAGCCGTTGTAACTATACTTGAGACCTTAGAATTCTCTCAAGGTGGATGGCGGCATTTCGACATGAGGTCTAAGTAAGCCCTCCAAACCGGTATCCCCCCTCCAAACAGGTCAGCAGCAATAAGTGTTGAGCACAAAGTTAGCAATTAGCTTAGAGGAGTAATAAAAAAAACGTTTTATTTTTTGTGCCATTCCATACAATATTATAAATGTGAAAGCGTGTTTGTTTGTTTGTTTGTTAGTGCAACGAATTGACGTGATTCCTAATTGAATGATATTCGTTCAAGAGTGATATAGAATATCTTTTACCCCGAAAAAAGAACCAGCTCATTCCCACTGGAAACTACACTGATATTGTCCTTGACCACACGGGCGCAGCCGCAGGCAATGACTAGTATATTATATGTTATACCTGAAGTTTAGGCAGTATTGGAGTAAATAGCAATAGGTCTGTTCTAGATTCATTCTGATATTATTATTGTTTAATAATAATATAAAATAAACAAGTTAGTGTCAACCCTCAAGTCAAGTAACTAAAATGTTGGAATATGAAAAAAAAAACCAACACCAAGCAACTAAACCATTCATAATATAAATATTTTTAAGTTTTTTAGGTATATTTATGACATAATTTACCACCATCATTTATTTATGACATAAATACCACCAATTTGATCTAGACGACGCCCAGACCGTTACTAGACGTTTTTGTTTTGTTTTATTACATGTTACACGAATAAGGTCAAGGTCACAGGTCGCGCCGCGGTCACCACGAGACATCTGATTGTCCTAAACAATAGTGTTACAGATAAAACAAGTGACATCTGTTATTACTGCTTTTATTTCTTAAATGCGTAAGAACGTGTAATTTCTTATATAGATCATGTATTATTATTATTGCAATTCTTTACAGTATGTTTTAATGTACACGAATATATGCAAATGCTTAAATGCAAATGCTTAAACGCAAATGGGCAGTTTTATCTCTAGGAACTATCTCTTTGAGACAACCGATAAGTGAACAAGAATCATATTAGAAAATTTAATATTTATCGCGCTATATTTACCAATTGATTAATAATATTGGAATAAAAATACAAATATAAATATTTATTAATCTTATTTTGTATTGCTATTTATATCGCCCATGGTCATCAGCAAAACGGACATGGCCAAGTCACTGCTAATTTACTTGAAGTCAAATGATGTGCTTACGATTTCTTTATCCTGGGCGCAGTTGCACTATACGTTTTGCTAAGCGCCATCTCCCTTCTGCCAGTCACTCGCGAATGGTGGATAGGACCTGATGCTAGCACCTGGAAATGTTAAATATATTAAAACAGTTTTAAGTTTATTTATTCAATTAGCTGATAAGATAAGGATAAGACGCCCGGCGCAGGCAAGTACCAAATTTAATACGATTTTTTCTAATGAAATACGTACTTAACAAATGTTCACGATTGACTTCCACGGTGAAGGAATAACATCGTGTAATAAAAATCAAACCCGCAAAATTATAATTTGAGTAATTACTGATGGTGGGACGTCTTATGAGTTCGCACGGGTAGGTACCACGACCCACGTATTTCTGCCTTGAAGCAGTAATGCGTTTCGCTTTGAAGGGCGGGGCAGCCGTTGTAACTATACTGAGACTTTAGAATTCATATTTCAAGCTGGGTGGCGCCATTGTCTACGGGCTCCGGTAATCACTTAACAACAGGTGGGCTGTGAGCTCGTCCACCTACTTAAGCCTTAAAAAAATCGAGACTGTTAATTTTTTCGGTAGGCAGCGGCTTGGCTCTGCCCATGGCATTGCTGAAGTCCTTGGGCGACGGTAACCACTCACCATCAGGTGGGCCGTGTGCTCGTCTGCCTACAAGGGTAATGAAAAAAAATCCAGGTACGTACTTGATGTAAATGTACGTTGTTCTGCCGGAGCCTCACTTCCTGCACGCAGTGCGCGGGGAACAGGCCGGCGGCGCCCGAGCCTCTGACGCAGCCCTCCAGCAGCCCGTCGTCGGAGGCCGCCGTCACTGCAACACCAGGGAGCTGGTGGATACGCGAGGTCGCCGTGTGACCACCGGCTTAGTCACGTGCGCAGTTAATGATGGAATGTATCGGACATCGCGTTTGTTAGCACGTTGCGAATGTTAGCGTAATTAACAGATGAACAGGATTATTGCTGCAATACGGTGCTATTTAACTGATAACCTCGGTAAAACTCTCGACCTATTTATGTATTTAATAGGAAACGCTTTTTGGCTGTAATGTAATTGAATTAAGGCAATTATTATTAAGTACAACAACTGCTTTTGTTTTGGGCAACGGAAAACGCGACGCATGTTTCGGGAATGTTAAAATTTGTAAAGGTAGGAAGAAAATTGGACATCCTAGGCTATCCGAACGCTAAGATGGAAAAATAATTAGGGTCGCCGCACACGGGTCACTTCTCGATCCTGTGGACCAAATGGAAAGCAGTCAACGTCGCCTAAAACACGTTATTTCGGATCCTCCCGATTCATTACCGGTGCTTTTAGGTACCTCAAGCACCGGTCATCTTTCTCGTCGAACCCATCGCTTACGACGAAGGGCTCGACAGACACAGCCCACCGAGTTTCTCGCCGGATCTTCAACGGGTCGCATTTCCGATCCGATGGTAGATTCTGCGAAGCACGGCTCTTGCTAGGGTTCGTGTTAGCAACGTCGTCAGGTTTGAGCCCCGTCAGCTTACCTACTAGCTCGGCGAATCTAGAATAACTCCTCGAGGTTACTAGAGTAGGTCGAAAAAACGGACCACACGCGACAGCCATGAGAAGCTAGAGACGGCTACAAAGGTAGCTGATGCGCGCGCCAGCCACTTTTGGCCGGTGGTCGACAATCGCGGTTGGGGCTGCTACTTTTTGTAACCCATGCGCGCAGTATCACAATGGACTCCGATAATGCTATATCCATATTTATTTCACCCTACATGCGTGCGTTGCCTTCGGATTGAACAGATTAACTGAGGTGAGGGAGAGAGGGGTGGGGAATCGCGCGAATGGCGTGTGGCGGCGTTGTGTATCTGCTCTTAGTGACCGGTGCGCAACAAGAAGCGAGTAACGACGATTTGTAGCGTGTGGCAACCACCGGCGCCAAAGTGTGCGGCGAGCCTATATAGGTTGTGGCCGGTGGCCCATGTGCGGCGACCCTTAGAGTTGTGACACAAATAAAAACAGTAACGGTTGAAGAGTCAGTGCCCTCGACGATACTAAGACACTCCTGTGGAATCTCGGCATCCGGTTACCTTCGACGATGTCGCCCTGGTTGAGCCTGAGATGGCCAGGGGCGGCGCCCTCGTAGGGCTGCAGGCACACGGCGGTGCTGGAGGGCTGCAGCGAGCACGTGGTGGTGTCGGAGTTGCTGGTGCCCACCCCGCTCGAGTCCGATATGATGTCGCTAGCGTCGCCGGCGCTCTTATCTGTCAACATTAGCGTCGGCCCTGACGGATGAGTTCAGCCGCGGGTCTGTTCGATTATGTCTCAGTATTTTATCAGACTCCTCAAATCAATTGAATTACTTTTGTTTTAATTAGGAGATGCGTCTGTAGTTTATTTTTTATGCTTTTTTTTTATATTCGGACAAGCAAATAAGCGAATGTTGCTCGCTGTTGTATTCGCCAGTATGTACCTTTCCTTTCTCTAGTCGTAGTAAATAAAAAAATATAAATTTAAAAAACGAAACGCAGATAAAAAATACCATACTTTTAGAGAATGTTTTATATCGAAATGTTGCCAAATTATTTGGAATAATTTTAGAAGGAAAACGTAGCTAACACCCTGCCGAGGACTTTGAAATTTAACTTAAGCCTAGTCTAATTGTAAGTTCTAAAGGAGAGGGGAAAATCCATACGTTCTTGTTAAAGGAAGCAAATAAGCGAATTGTGTTAAAGGTAATATCGAACAAAACGCTATCGGTGAGGTTTACGCGAAGCCAAATGTGTGCTTGGTGCGAGTTTTTTAACGTTCTCGATAACGTAAAAGTTAACTCTAATTTGTATGCAGTTGTAACAGCGCCCCTAGCGGCAAACGATGGCAAACGTTCCAGCTCCATAAAAGTTTGAGTAACTTTAACGCTATCGAGAACGTTAAAAAACTCGCACTAAACACACAATGTCAGTTCTTCTGACTATCAAAGCAATTTACTATTCGAGCCACCCATACCGCTTTGTTTGATCGGACTTGAACAACTATTCACATAAATGCGAACATACACATGCAGAGTGATTGTTGATGAGCACGGCGAGGTCTGTGCATGGTGATGGTTGTTCACGTGGACTTATTGGGGCGCTTTCGGTGCTTTTGTGTTCGAGGTTGGGAAATAATGACGTTTGATTATGACGTCACTGATGATAACTACGACTCGCGGGTGAGTGACGGTCGCGGTAAATGTTTGTTCTGTAAAGGCTGGAATAAATTTAGATCTACAAACGTCATTCTGTTCTGAATATGGCTGCTTGTGAAATCACGTAGTATGATAATTATCGTTATTTCCCAAATCGACATACGGTACTGCTGGGGATGGTGTACCTGTGAGTATGCTGGCGTCGTCTTCGTGGCTCGGGTGGCTGGCGTCGCTGATGCTTGAGGAGGCAGACGAGAATGGTCGCTCGAGGCTGCAGGGCGAGGGCGCGGCGGGGACGCGCGTACTCGACGCCAGCGAGGAGCGGTCCCCGGCCGAGCGCATGCACCACCACGCGCCCCCCAGCGAGCCCCCCGCCGAGCCCCCCAGCGAGCCCCCCGCCGCCGACCGTCTCCGAGGGTTGTACCGGGGCGGACCCCGGAACGGAACTGCAATTTTACCGTTGACGAACCGAAACAACTAATAACGTGCCACAAATCAAATAACTCAACTTTTTAACTAAAACCGTGCTAACTCATAATCAACTCATAACTCATAATCATAAAAAATAAATAAATTTCTAAAATAAATAATCTAATCATAAATATAAATATTTATTGATTAATTAAACGAGTAGCTGGTTAGTGTTGTCGTGTGTTCAATAAACATATTGTAATATTAGACAAGTAATAATCATAATATCTTCTATCGTATCTTCATTTGAAAAATACAACCATCACCATAATGATAATAAGCCGTAAGATAAATAAATGGATGATATCATGCAGTATAATATAATTAACATATTTATTTGCACTTTATATTTAAAACGTATTGTGTCAGACATTCATAGAACCTGGAAGTTTTCGTGTTTATAATTAAAAAAGGATTCTTAAATAAAGAATGATTGATGTATTATAATAAATTTAAATTGTAGGAATCATGATAAATTTGTCTTATTTATTCGTTATTAGTATAAATGTACAATTACAAATAAAAATACACGACCTTAATATTTAAATCTGATTAATATATTGATAATCGAATTGAGCTTAGATGCCCTCGGGATATTTTAACAACCCTCTGCAATAAGTTAAGCAATTTTAAGTTTATCGTCATTTAAGAATCCTACAGTAAAGTGCATAAATATAATAATAGAATTTAAATAATATAAAGCGTCGCAGCCATGCATTAAATCATCACACTCATAACAAGACTCACCGATTTCATCAGATTTATAGTTTTTAATCACTTCGGCCAAGTCCAAATTTCCAGCTATGACAGCCACCTAATAAAACCATATATATTTTTTTAATTTGTGACAAATTAACAATCTTTATTATCTACTATTAATTCGATTCAAATGGGCTCATTTTCAATATGACTTTTACACATATTTATTAATTAAAGTTGAGTTCGGAAATGATAGAGAGGTCATTTTCTTATTCATATTGAATACAAGGGAACTTTTACCGTAAGGAAGAGGTGGCAGTACTGATGTATAAGGAAACCTAAAAATTGCTTAGGACAACAATGTATGTACAACATGAAATGTCCCGGTAGGCAGAGGCTTGGCTCTGTCCCTGGCATTGCTGAAGTTCATGGGCGACGTTAATCACTGACCATCAGGTGGGTCGTATGCTCGTCTGCTTACAAGGGCAATAAAAAAAATGCATTTCCTTTACATCGGAAAACGACAAAAGATTCAAGGCTTGTTTTGTTCCAAAACACACCTCAAAAGCATCGCGTAGACTTACCTGGTAAGGCGTCTGGTTGGCAAAGTTGAGCGCTTCCTTGTCGCATCCGCGGAAGAGGAGTTGTCTGGCGCAAGAGTCTTGCGCGTTGACCGCGCACACGTGCAGCGGAGTGTTCCCGGACGCGTTGCGGGCGTTCATATCGGCACCGTAGAACAACAGATGGTCCACGTGTTGAACCAGGCCGTTGCGACAAGCCTGTGTAGACGACAACAGTATCTTTTTGGTGGTAGGACCTCTTGTGGTCCGCGCGGATAGGTACCACCGCCCTGCCTATTTCTGCCGTGAAGCAGTAATGCATTTCGGTTTGAAGGCCCGCCCTTATCAACAGTTCGATGTTTTTAATTGAACTTCAATTACTCCATTCAAATAAGTGAAGAATTTTTTTGTTAATATATATTTTTTTTTATTTTAATCTTTAAATGGCTCTCCTGTAAAGTTGCAAAAATGTTGCTTAAACCACATCGCCTTTCATCCCTCGATATTAACATATGAATAATTATGTTACCTGATGAACTTCTTGCCACCCCTGTAGATCGGTGGCGCCGATTGTCGCATGGTCGTGCAGCAACGTCTCGCAGAGCAGCGGGTCCGTTTTGTTCGTCACCGATAGATATAAAGGAGTCAATCCCTTTCCGTCTTTGTAGTTTGGCGACGCGCCCAGCTCCAGAAGAGTCTTCACGGCCTCTAGGGAGTTCTTCTCGACGGCTCTGTGCATAGCGGTGCTGCCGTCTTTCGTTCGATAGTCGAGTAACGCACCGCCGTTGACGAGGGCTATAAGAATCTTCGCGGGCGACTTTAGACCGGCGGCTATTGTTAATGGTGTTTCTAGAAATAGAAACGGAAAACATAGATAATAGAATATAAGTTTTAAGAATTAAGTTAAGAAATTAATAAAGTATTCTCTGTGGAGTTTTAAGACCGCTAAGTGTAATATATTTTTTTTTATTGCCCTGGTAGGCAGATGAGGGTACGGCCCACCTATTTATTAGTGAGTAGTTACCGTCGCCCATGGACTTCAGCAATGCCAGGGGCAGAGCCAAGCAACTGCCTACCAAATACAACCTAGGATTTCATTTACAAGAAGTACCTATAATTATTGTGTTCATCATTTCAATTTCACTCATTGTCAATTCATTGTCAATATGGTATTATTAATTGACAGTGTCAGTACAGTATATGGACCATACAGCAGTTGTCAATCGTCCGGTCACGTAATATACGTTTTACGTAATTACACAATACAAGTAAGTATACTTGAAACAAATTCATTCAAATATACGACAAGATTAATGTGAAATATTAGGCGTTCGACGGAAACGTATAAATTTCATACGTCTCAAGGATCGGTCGACGTTTACCGGAGATTATTCACGGCCGGATTGATACGGCTCTTAAAATACGGTTTTAAATACACGGAACAATGGAAGATAAGAATCCGCATGCAAATGAATTTACTGTATTACGTATAGGTAGTACAATGTAAGAGAATTTACGAAGCGTTTTTGTCGGTTATTTGCATGGCTTTGGATGTAATAAGACTATCATTGTTTCATGACTGTGTTACTATACTATGCTTGCATCAGCGGTTGCGAAATGGAAAATGTTGAAATTTCATATTATTATTTTTTATTGCTAAAATGAGTGGACGAGCTCACAGCCCACCTGGTGTTAAGTGGTTACTGGAGCCCATGGACATCTACAACGTAAATGCGCCACCCACCTTGAGATATAAGTTCTAAGGTCTCAAGTATAGTTACAACGGCTGTCCCGCCCTTCAAACCGAAACGCATTACTGCTTCGCGGTAGAAATAGGCAGGGCAGTGGTAACTACCCGCACTCTCAAGAGGTCCTACCACCAGTAATCTCAAGAAGCCCTACCACCAGTAATAATTAATTATTTTTGATTTGACTCAAATCGTTATCAGTATCTCGTTTGTTTTCTGCCTATCTATCTTTTTTATTTTTGTTTTTCTTATTATTTAGATAGGTGGACGAGCTCACGGCAGACCTGGTGTTAAGTGGTTACCGGACCCATAGACATTTACAACGTAAATGCCGCCACTCACCTTGAGACATGAGTTGTAAGGTCTCACTTTTGAAAGTACAGCGGCTGCCCCACCCTTCAAACCGAAACGCAGTACTGCTTCACGGCAGAAATAGGCAGAGTGGTGGTACTTACCCGTGCAGATTCACAAGGCGTCCTACTACCAGTATCTACCCATATATTGGCGTATTCGATCCATTTGTAATAAAAAAATCTACTGGCACGAATAACATTTCAGTTCTATTAAAATGTACATCCCTATGTTCTTACCTCCCGTCTCTTGGCAGTGGAAATTGGGGTCGAGTCCTTTGGCGCAAGCTTTAGTGATTTTATCGATCTGTCCGTGCGTGACGTGTTCCAAGAACCTTCGTAGATTTGCGCGCGAGTGCAGAGCCTTCAGTGTCTTCTCGTCTAGTTTCAACATCTTGTAAACGCGCCGTTTGTATTTCAGCTGAAATTATTATTATTTTCATTGAGAAACCTTAAGTTTATATTTCATTGGAAGCGGTAACTGTATCCATTAAAACCTATTTTTTTTTCTTTTTTTTCTTCCTTTGCTTATAGCTTTCAGAGGCTATATCAGCGTTGCCCTAGCGTGTAGGTGAGCACTCGGGGCTCAAACCGGAGTGATGCTAATACTGGCCCTAGCAAAAGCAGTGCTTTGCAGAATCTACCACCGGATTGGAAACGCGACCCACTGTGAAAATCCAGCGAGAAACTCAGTGGGCTGTGTTACTACAACCTGAATATTCTCGATCACCTATGGACATAAGTTTTAAGAGCGAGTTTCTTTAAAATAACTACTGTCCTAGCCCATAATATGTTCTTATTCTGGAGCACAACAGCGAGGATGATCATATTCATATCTAAACGACCTGACAGACTCTCTACAGTTAGTTAAATTATTTTATTCATTTAAGCATTCAACTTAGAGTGTACTTTCCCTTGCCTACAGCCTTTACTTTGACTTAACATATTAACTCAATAAATTCTTGGATAAAACCCAAGTCTAATGTAAATTGGATAGTAAACTTGATAGTGTATTGGGGCCATAATATGTATTAAGCAAATTACGACACAGTTTATGATATTATAACATATAGTACATTATTACCTTTTCATGTACTAAAGAACTTTAGATGTTGCTACAAGGAAATTATGTAATGATGTACGATTTTGATAAGGGCTTTTGCTTAAATATTACGTTAAGTAACTTACCTCAAGGTATCCTACAGGTCCATTGAAAGGATAGTCGCCGAGTCGCCGTTCCTCGTCGAGAAATTTACCCGCCTTCCCGTTGACAGGAGGGCAGAAAAGACCATAGTTGAAACTCTCTTTCAACTCCTGGAAAAACAAACCGAGGGAATCTATTAGTATTGATTTATCACTTCAGTGACACTTCACAATTTTTTTTATTGCTTAGGTGGGTGGACGAGCTCTCGGCCCACCTGGTGTTAAGCGGTTACCGTAGCCCATAGACATCTATAACGTAAATGCCGCCGCCTACCTTGAGATATAAGTTCAGTATAGTTACAACCGCTTGCCCCACCCTTCAAACCGAAACGCATTACTGCTTCACGGCAGAAACAGCCTGGGTGGTGGTACCTACCCGCGCGGACTCACAAGAGGTCCTACCACCAGTAATTACGCAATTTGCGGGTTTGATTTTTACTACACGATGTTATTCCTTCACCGTTGAAGTCAATCGTGAACATTTGTTAAGTACGTATTCCATTAGAAAAATTGGTACCCGCCTGCGGGATTCGAACACCGGTGCATCGCTACATACGAATGCACCGGACATCTTATCCTTTAGACCACGGCTCAAATGTCATTTCTTGCTTCAAATGTAGCCGATTTAAGGAGAGTGCTCAGGGGTAGGAAGCACCTTAAATATGTCCCTGGGTCTATGTTGATTTGCCTACATTGGCAATAAAAAATGTAGGATCATTATCAACTAATCACTATATTTTATACACAATATGTTCGGTCACTCTGAAAAATCTGATATTAATGCGATGATGATTAGTGTTTAATCCTTGGATGAAGAGGTAAACAAGATAATTGTACCGTTTGTAAGTCTTTCAAGTTTACGTAACTCACATTTTTGAACACACACATTTTTCATTAGAAATAAATTTTATGTTAGCGTTACCATAATTAGGAGCCTGATCATACGAGTATAGTACCAACATTGAAAAAAAGGTATTACGAGTTAAATTAAGTGACGTTTACCATAAAATAGTACGACATTTATGCTTCATAAAGATGTCAATAATTCACATTCGTTGCAGAGTTATCTTATTACAGATATTAAATAAAAATACCGATTTACATACAATAGTAGGTACATCAGTGCCTTGAAATACGGGATATTGTCTACAACGTAGCGACCGTAAAATACTAAAACGAATAGATAATAGAAGAATAGATGTTTTCGATCAGTTAAATATAAATTATCTTTGTTAATTAACTTTCCTATGTTGTGTTTATATTTTTCGGCAATAGAAATCACACTGATACAATGATTCTTTTGTTGAACATAGTCTGCAAGTTTACGATAAGACTGTACCACCAGTAAGTACCACGCTAATTCCTCACCAGTCCTGGTGAAACTGGAAAGGCCTCCGGGCCACCAGTAAATATTCAATCATAAAAAAAAACTACGCTAATTAATATTTTCTCCGGGCAACAATAGAAGATATTTAGATTTCTCTATTTATTCATTTGAATTTTTAATGATTAATTTTAATTTTTTTATTGTTCAGATGGCTGGACGAGCTCACAGCCCACCTGGTGTTAAGTGGTTACTGGAGCCCATAGACATCTACAATGTAAATACGCCACCCACCTTGAGATATAAGTTCTAAGGTCTCAGTATAGTTACAACGGCTGCCTCGCCCTTCGAACCGAAACGCATTACTGCTTCACGGCAGAAACAGGCAGGGTGGTGGTACCTACCCGCGCGGACTCTCAAGAGGTCCTACCACCACCTTTGAATATATTTAGGTTATTCGACTTATTAATTTGAAATATGACGAAAATCTATAGTATCGTAATAAAAATGTAAAGCAATTATTTCCTTGGAAATAAAACAATGCTAATAATTTCAATTTGCGTTCCATGTTCATTTAATTTATTATAGGAAAAGACATTTTTATGTTTTTTTATTTTCGGCTAGTCATTTTCAATTTAGTATGGCATCACACAGCCCTATCCGTGGCTCATTCCGAACATGTCCATGCGGAGTTCTAATGATAGAACTCACGTAAGCACAAATGATAGGGCGTTTCATATTTATTACAGGCTGTAACGTAATGTTCGTGTACTCACAATATCATTTCAACTTTACGACGTGTTATATGAGTTTTAAGGATACTCGGAAATTTTATTATGAGCAAGCATGCATTGCTTAGAATTATTACGTAGATAGATATACCTGTATGTAATTGTGGTTTTATGTTTCTTTTTAATAATTAGCAATTTACTTCGACAACATAATTACAGCTAGCCGTAATGCAATAGTCAGGAAATATTTTTTATTGTTTTGTGGACTCGAGTACACGTGAGTTCTTTTTCTCTCCGATTTGCTTTTGACAGTTCAAAGTTATGCGCGTTGTTTGGGCAACTTCATACCCGATCCTGTGGACCGTATGGTAAACAGTCGACGTCGCCCTAAACACGTCATTACGGATCCTCCCGATCCATTAACGGTACTTTTAGATACATGAAGCACCGGTCACCGTCCTCGCTGAACCCGTCGCTTGCGACGAAGGGCTCGACGAGTAAATTAATCCATAGACACAGCCCACTGAGTTTCTCGCCGGATCTTCTCAGTGGGTCGCGTTTTCGGTCCAGTGGTAGATTCTGCGAAGTACGGCTCTTGATTTTTTTTTTTATTGCCTTTCTAGGCAGACGAGCATACGGCCCACCTGATGGTGAGTGGTTACCGTCGCCCATGGACTTCAGCAATGCCAAGGGCAGAGCCAAGCCGCTGCCTACCAATGGTGATAGGGTTCATGTTAGCCACATCGTCAGGTTTGAGCCCCGTGAGCTCACCTACTAATTCGGCGAATCTAGAATTACCCCTCGAAGTTACTAGAATAGGTAGGAAAAAAAAGTAGGTTGTGCAACTTAGTCCGTAACGTAACATAATTATTGTTGGCAGATCAGGCAAGGTTTCTTGTATAGTACAGGTAGTAGGTATAGGTAGGTAATATAGCTAAAATGAAAGATCGGTGTACGAATACAAATCGATGTATTCCATACATAGTTTTCTCAATGATCCAGACGAAGCATGCCCGTGTTTTATAGTACTAGTATAATATTACATGTCCGTCTAGATAGTACACAAACTATTATAAATGTGAACAAGCCTCTTGTGATTGTTTTTACGCGAACCTTATTGATTAACAAGCTATATAAAGAGCAGAAACAACTAACAACCATTTCCAAGTAAAATATAGCAGGAAATAATCAAATGGGATATCGGTAAGAAGCTCAGATTATATCAAGCACGTTGAAGAAATAAATGTTAATTACGATATCTTCGCAATATCTTGCAACGAATGATTTCAATCACCTGAACAAATTCTGAATTTTCATTGAAACCCAACCTATGTTAGGTTACGATACAAATAGCAGTGAATTGCAATGAAACCACAAAATGAATGCGTATTCCGAAGTTCAAAACTTTTATTCCAGTACCATTCGTTGTTACAATGAGTAGTTTGTACAATTTGCGTTAAATATTGAAATTTGGATAAACAAAACTATCACAGGCACTTTTTGCGTTAAGAACTCAAAGTACAGTTTACCCTTTTTATCGTAAAAATGATAAATCGTATCCAGTCGTATCGACACGGGCCCTTTGCTTTAGGTTAGAGGAAACAAGAACAATAGGAAGAAATAGAAGGAAATAGAAATTTTGAATGCAGTTAAAACGGAAATTCGTACCGATTAAGTATTTCAATAATGTTGTTTTTTATTGCTTAGTTGGGTGGACGAGCTCACAGCCCACCTGGTGTTAAGCGGTTACTGAAGCCCATAAACATCTACAACGTAAATGCGCCACCCACCTTGAGATATAAATTCTAAGGTCTTAAGTGTAGTTACAACAGCTGCCCCGCCCTTTGAACCGAAACGCATTATTGCTTCACGGCAAAAATGGGCAGGGTGGTGGTACCTACCCGTGCGGACTCACAAGACGTCCTACCACCAGTAAAAAGTTAGGTATTTTTCTTGCCAATGTTCACTTAAAATTCTAGAAAACTTAGCACAAAAATGAATATACTCGTACAATGTAGCCAACCAGTAAGTACATCAACACAAATTTCATAAAGAAATATGTAGCTGTCGTATTAAAAGTTTAATAAAACTGGTCTACTGAACGAGGGCGCGCCCTCATATGATCTCATCCGGATCGAAGTAATATTTTCCGGCTATGTCCTATATACACATCCAGCGACGACATANAGAAAACTTGGCACAAAAATGAATATACTCGTACAATGTAGCCAACCAGTAAGTACATCAACACAAATTTCATAAAGAAATATGTAGCTGTCGTATTAAAAGTTTAATAAAACTGGTCTACTGAACGAGGGCGCGCCCTCATATGATCTCATCCGGATCGAAGTAATATTTTCCGGCTATGTCCTATATACACATCCAGCGACGACATACATACATATGTATATGGTGATATGAAAAAAAGCGGACTACGTTTAGTCCACACATTGATATTTCTCGACATCATCCCTGGACACTAGAGCATATATTTCCATTACGTTTATTACTTACAGCTAACGTGTTCGTATTTTTCATTAATTAGTTATAATGACTGATTGAGGAAATGCAGCATGTCAAACATACGGAACATGGGTTCCGCCTTTTCCAGTCTTTTTTTTCCTATCTAAGCTGATAGCCTTGAGAGGCTATTTCAGCGTAACCTTAACTAGTAGGTGAGCTCACGGGGCTCAAACCGGAGTGATACTAACACTGACCCTAGCAAGAGCAGTGCTTCGCAGAATCTACCACCGGATCGGAAACGCGACCCACTGAGAAGATGCGGCTAGAAACTCAGTGGGCTGTGTCTATGGGTTAATTCGCTCGTCGAGGCCTTCGTCGCAAACGACGGGTTCGACGCGGACGGTGACCGGACGGCGAGGACGGTGACCGGGGTTTTCCAGACAGCCAGTAGCACACTTATGAGGAATCAAAATACAGACAGACACAGCAATCATTCACTGACCAAATAGACTAGTGTAAATTTTATATTCATTTGATTTCATCCAAGCAGATAATAGTTTTAATGATAATACTAAGCCGAGGGACAACTCATA